GTCACTACCCTTGATATCAGCAGATCTTTGATTGCGTGGGCTACTTGCATCACAGCAGCCCCCACAGTAGATTTGCCCACTCCAAATTGATTCCCAACTGACCGGTAGCTGTCTGGCGTTGCAAGCTTCCACAGGGCTATCGCCACTCGCTTCTCAACTGTGAGGGCTGCTCTCATCTTGGTATTCATGCGCCTCAGGGCAGGGGAAAGCAAGTCACAAAGTTCCATGAAAGTGCCCTTACGCATGCGAAAGTTTCGCAGCCACTGGGAATCGTCCCAGATCTGCAACACTGTGCGGTCCCACCAGTCTGTGCTTGTTTCCCGAGCCCAGAATCGGCGTTCCACAGCATGAACCTGCCCCATTAGCACCATGATGCATGCATTGCCAGGGCCCATGCTTTCAGAGAAATCTGTGTCCATGTCCTGATCACTCATGTGACCGCGCTGACGTCGCCTCCTCGCCCAGTATCGCTTTGCCAGGTTCTGGTGCTGCATATACTGCTGGATAATGCGTGTGGTGTTTAATGTGCTCCTAATTGCCAAAGTGAGCTGAGCGGCCTCCATGCTTGCCTTGGTATGGCGTCCGCACAGAAAAAAGGCGCGGAATGATTGTCTGCCGTTGCTCTGACGGAGGGAGGGGCGACTGACGACACGGCTTACAGGGTAGGCTTCAGGGAGCTAAAATCAACAAAGGGGGTGTCTTTACATCAAGGAGTATTTCAGGCAGGACTTCACGGAGGGGTCCAATAAGAAATGGTGCACCTAAGTTATTGTTCTTATTGGAACAAGGAGGTTAGTCTGGCCTCTGATTGATACATGGCTAGATTTACCTCGCTGCACCTTCTCTGTGAGTGACTGCAGTGTGACCTAGAGGAATGAGTCCCCTAGACAGGGGAGGAGGCAAAAGAGTACAAAACAAATCTGGTCTATTTCTTGTTTTGATCCACTCCATCTATCTTTTACATCTTTGGCTGGCAGCAGACGGTGCAGAAGGACTGCATGCCATCCACATCTCATGGCTGCTCGGCACAAGATGGTACAATACGACTGCTAGCCATCCTCATCTCTTGCCTGCCCGGCAGAAGATGGTACAGTACGACTGCTAGCAATCCGTATCGCCTGCCTGCTCACCATAAGACAGTTCAATAGGACTGACTGCAGAACTAAAGAGAATGACCTGGTCAAGTCACTCCAAATTTAGTCCCTGCGCCCATGTCTGCCCAGGCGCTCCCAGCCGACGTGGCCAGGAGCATCTCAGACACGACGAGGACGGCTACCAGTCGTACTGCACCATCTGCTGCCAAAAGGCAATGGGTTGCTGCTACTGTGTAGCAAAGCCGTACCGTGTCTGCCAGCACCCAGGAGACATAGGGTGACGGTTACCTGAGCAGGCTCCATGCTTGCCGTGGTATGGCGTCTGCACAGGTAACTCAGGAAAAAAGGCGCGAAACGATTGTCTGCCCTTGCTTTCACAGAGGGAGGGAGGGAACGGGGGCCTGACGATATGTACCCAGAACCACCCGCGACAATGTTTTAGCCCCATCAGGCATTGGGATCTCAACCCAGAATTCCAATGGGCAGCGGAGACTGCGGGAACTGTGGGATAGCTACCCACAGTGCAACGCTCCGGAAGTCGACACTTGCCTCGGTACTGTGGAAGCGCTCCACCGAGTTAATGCACTTAATGCACTTAGAGCATTTTCTGTGGGGACACACACACTCGAATATATAAAACCGATTTCTAAAAAACCGACTTCTATAAATTCGACCTTATTCCTTAGTGTAGACATACCCTAGGTGTGGATAGAGTCATGAATCCTGTGCTGTGAGTGCAGGGCCAGGTGTGTCCTGTAGCCATGTATATCTAATGTCTACACAAGAGTGTCTTGTTGCCCTTGGAGGGCTTGTGTGGTGTTTATTATGTAAATGGCTGGGGATTAGAAAGTTGGTTCTTTTTAATCAAGAATGGAATTTCTTAGCTTGTTTCCATGTAGTGCCTGGTTTTTCAACCACAGGGGATCTGGGAGCCTGAACTCTTTTGCCACAGACCAAACCTTTAAACCCAAGACAACCTGTGCTGTCTGCAAACCCTGTTGAATCGACACGGTTAGTATAAGAAACCACCAGAAATGTGCACTGCTGCAGGTACCCTCAATCCAAGTATCTCTCAGCCCTTCACACACACATGAATTGCGTCTCACAGCCTGCCCTGTGAGGGAGAGAGGCAGTTATTATTATCCTCGCTTTATAAATGGGAAACGTAAGGTCCAGAAAGGGAAAGAGGCGGTGCATCCGGGAGCAACAGAGAAGGGAAGGGGCACTACTTGGCCCTCAAACCTTCCCCCTCTCCCACCCCCATCACAGCCCATGAGGCTGTGGCTGCAAGAAAAGCCCCAGGTGGCCACGTTTGAGAACCGCTGAACCACGTGAGTGGAGAAGGTTCTCAGGAAGGTTATGATCTCTCCTTAGCCCTCTTCTGTGCTACCCTAGAAATAGCTCGTCCCTGCCCGGTGACGTTGTGACAGGTGACTCACCTCTTCGAACAGCGTATGCTTGAGCAGTGAGCTTGTGCGTCAGCCGGTGACGGGGCTCACTCCCCACACTAGTGCCCCTTGCTGGACATCTTAGGGATTAGCTCAGCAGGTCGGTACTCCCTCTCCCGGTGATGCCTCGCCTGCCATCACATCTTCTCTCTGACCCAGGTTACTCCAGGACCGTGGTTTAGACTCTCTGGCTGTAAGGCTCTGTCTACACTACAGCCTATGTTGGCAAAACTTATGTCACTCAGGGGTATGAATATTCCACCCCCCTGAGCAACATCAGTTACGCCGACATCAACGCTCGTGTGCACAGCGCTATATCAGTGGGAGAGCTTCTCTTGCCAACATAGCTTATGCCTCTCGTGGGGCCGGGGGTTTTATGCGGACGGGAGAGCTCTATCCCATTGGCATAGAGCATCTTCACCAGACGCACTGCAGTGCTGCAAGTGTAGACATGCCCTCAGAGTTCAAACAGCGAAGAGAGAGATGGAAAATTTTTCTGTAGCTTTGTTTTATTTCCTTCATTCAGTTCAGCATTTCGATAGGGTCATGAACCAATCCTTTGTATTGCAATGTTCCTTGATGGCCCATCTGATCTGATAGTCCTTCTGGATGGGTAGGGGACAGGGATGATTTCCTTGCCTGGGTTAACAAGTTCAGAGCAAACATTTTCAAAGTTATAAAGCAAAACTTGTGTATTTTCTTATAGCAGGGAATGCCAACATTACACATGAGATTAATGCAAACAACAACTTACAAACATTTCTTAGAGTCTGAACACTAAATATATTCTTATAAGATTAATAGTTTTGCTCAAAATAGATAACATACAGGTGAATTGGTTTGGTCTCCGGTGATAAGTTTAGAGACTAACCAATTTATTTGAGCATGAGCTTTATGCTCAAATAAATTGGTTAGTCTCTAAGGTGCCACAAGTACTCCTTTTCTTTTTGCGAATACAGACTAACACGGCTGTTCCTCTGAAACCGGTGATAAGTTTGTTAGTTTTTAGCTACTGCCTGCAGTATTGGCAAGAGCTGGCCCCTGGTTTGCCAGCGACTCAAAATTAACCAAATGTTTGGAACAGTACAAACATACATGCATAGAAGAAGCTTACTGAAAATACAAATACTCAGTGGGAGGGAGAAACCTAGGAATTGTACTGCTTAGAGAAGCAGGGTGTTCAGTAGTAACTAATACCAATTCTGCACTATGGAGACTTTGGGCCAGATCCTCAGTTGGTGTAAATCTATGAAGTCAATGGATTTTGCTCATATGCATCAGATGAGGATCTGGCCGATTGTGTAGGGTCTAGGAGGACTGGAAGGATTGTATAATAAACTCTGTGCATTTCAGTGTAGCCAACACTCATGGTTTTATTGCAAGTCTCATGGTATTGGATGCTTTTCTTACAAGCCCCAGCTCTGGGAGTCATGTCAACGTGCGAATTTCAGCTAGTGCTCATGGCTTTGCAGGAAAGCTTGGAAACATGACCCATCCGCCTCTGAGGCTACGTGTACACAGCCGGTGGCAGCAAATCTCAGCACCTGGGCAGACTCAGGCTTGCATTACAGCTCTAAAATCAATTGCAGAGACATTCGAGCTGGAGCTTGGGATCTGAAGCCCTTCCCCTTCCCTAGGCTCCAGAGCGGTTTTAGTGCAGAGGCGCCAGTCCTGTGAGTCTGAGCTGCCGACCGGGGGTCTGCAATTCACTGCCGCGGGCTGCCACTCACGGTGTAGATGCACCCTGAAAGGCTCACAAACCAGGCGGCAAATAAAAGAACCAGCCATTTGTGGGTATGAATTTCCATGATTTTTTTTAAAGAAGGAGTACTTGTGGCACCTTAGAGACTAACAAATTCATGAAAAAACTCATGCAGATACAGACAGACATCATCTTCCTTTCCAAATGCAGACAGATGGACGTCGTACCAAAAGGACTGAAGGAAAAAAATGTGTTAGTCTCTAAGGTGCCACAAGTCCTCCTTTTCTGTTTGCGGATACAGACGAACACGGCTGCTACTCTGACACCTGTCATGATTTTTAAGGCAATCGCATCCTTTGGAGGACCTGGCTTATGTGTTTTGAACACTCGGGGTTTGTACTTTCTGCGATCTCAGAAGGCAGCATGGTGTCCTCTCCATTTCACTTACCGATGGGCCCCGGGAGCAGCGACTGGCTCACCACACTGCAGGAACCGGCTCATTTTGGCCACAGCACATTATATTCACTTTTACCAGACCAGCCTAATAACACGCCCCCCCCGTCCATTCTCTTCTAGCTGACCTGTTCATTTCAGAGTGCCCACAGCCAAGTCTGATTATAGGAGGCAGGGAGGCTGCAGCCCCAAACAGCTGGAACCCGTTTCAGTGAGACAGGCAGCCACATTGTCTGGGTTTTAATTTTTAATCCCTTATTTTAAGAAGCCTCGTCAGTGCACAGTGCCATGACCTGCCATTGGGCCGGGTATTTCATTGACACCAGGTGTGGATCTGGCCCCGAGCATCCAGCACGCTACGGTCTGTGTTATACCAGTGCGATACACTCCAATCGGCCTGCGTGGAGGAAAAAAAACCAGAAATCCCAACCATCCTCTGCACCAGTAAATCCTTCCAGGAAGGACTACAACTCCCAAGAATACCCTGCAAGAGAGCAGCTCTCACAACAGAGCAGGCTGGGCGAATTAAACACAGCAACAAGGGAGACCAGAGCCCCGTCCTTCCCCCAGCAAAACCTCTGTGGATTATGCTCTAAATCTAGCCTCTATTTGCTCTCCAAGCAGGGACTAATTCCCCCCCCCCCCCCCCCCTCAGCTCAGCTGCGTTTCTGTTTGCTGTGCAGCTTCCCCTGGTACTTTACTGAGCTGCACACAAGCTGGTGGCCTGAGGCTGAGTTTGCAGCCATGATGAGCTGCAGTGAGAGCAGAGAGCAAGCAGGCATGAGGAATGCTAAGAGAACTGAACCCTGTCAGAGCGTGGTCTGGAGCCTTCCTTATTTTCCATTTCTCTGCTGAGAAACCCAGTCTGGCCAGAGGAAGGAGAAGCAAGGAAACGCCTGGAGAGGTTTCTGCTCAGGTAGGAATCTTACCGTGATCTTGGGGCTAATCCAGCTTTCATTCAGATCAATGGGAGTCTTGCTGTGGATGTTGTTAGAGCAGGACCAAGCATCACTAGCTTAACCACATCCAAATGTAGTACAATCTCTGCATTAAAAATCAGTGCAGCCAAGAGAAATTTGTTTAAGCGTCTGCTGCCCATGTGATGACTAATAACTAGTCAGGATCAGACTGCGGGCTCAGTTCTGCCGTGCAAACTTGGAGTAAATCCCCTGCCCTGCTTTCAAAAGAAATCGCCCAATTCGCACTGAGACCACACCATGACCTGTGCTAGTTTTAGAGAATTTAGAAGCTGTAAAACACAAAGTGATGAGTCAAATCCTGCTCTTGTTTACACCCATGTAAATCGTGAGTAACTCCACTGATGTCAATGGAGTTACTCTAGGTTTACAAGCGTGGAATTCAGAGCAGAGTTAATTATGGCTTCAGTTCTGGAGGGGCACTGAGCACCCCCAACACCCACTGAATTCAGTGCAGGTCCTGAGCACCTCTGTGAGTTTGGCCCAGGATTAGCACTCAGAGGGTCTGATTCACCTCTCACTTCCCGCAGTGCAAATAAGGAGCAGCCCCACTGACCTCACTGCTGTAAAACGGGTCTAAGTGACTGGAAAAACCGGGCCGAGAATTTTTGCTAGGGCCAGAGACATTCTGGCTGAACATTTCTGCCCAGCAAAGGGAGCTGGCTGACACCAACGGAGCTGGCCTTCGGTGTCTGTATGACAATTATTCTGTTTTATTGTATTGCTGAGGGGCTTGGCCCTCAGACACACCAATTTAATGACAGGTTCAGTTCTTCTAGCAAGAGGAACAACACTTTCTGCCCCTGTTGCCCCCAGGGAGATGTAAGCCGTTATTCAAGAAAAAGCCCAGGTGGAGAATTAAGTATATCGTTCACTTTATAGTGAATTGATTTAGAATAAAGCTCTGGCCTTAATTCCCCCCTTGTTGTAAGAAAATAACCCGAATAGCAGCACCCTCTCCCCCTGCTGAAAGAGGGGCTCCACTGACACCCGAGACTGCTTTGCGGTGGTGTCAGATCCGCGTTTGGGTCTCCGATGATGGTGTGTAACAGCACGCTTTCCTAACGGGCCCAGTCCTGCAGTGCTACTGGCAGAGCCCCATTTGAAACTGCTAAAGTGCGATGTAAGAAGCCCGAGATTGCATTCCCACTGCTCCTCTCCCCCAGTTTTCAGAGCAACAGCCGTGTTAGTCTGTATTCGCAAAAAGAACAGGAGGACTTGTGGCACCTTAGAGACTAACCAATTTATTTGAGCATGAGCTTTCGTGAGCCACAGCTCACTTCATTCAACATCTGATGAAGTGAGCTGTAGCTCACGAAAGCTCATGCTCAAATAAATTGGTTAGTCTCTAAGGTGCCACAAGTACTCCTTTTCTCCCCCAGTTGACTTTCATTCTGGGCAAGCAACAATTGCAAAACTAGGCTCAAATTATTCCAGTTTCATTCTCACTCACTTCAGCAGTGGGAGGTCTCATGTTTTCAGGCTTATGAAGATATATATGCTTCATGTTGGGACAATTGTATTGCATCACAGTAACCTCCAGAATATCTTTCTTCCCCAGTACCCGAAGGATCCATGAACAAAAAGAAGCAGCAGCATACAGAATACATTGAACTGCAGGGAACAGCCTCAGAAAGACACGATGAGAATGGTTTCTAGGGCTGTGAGAATGGGACAAGCTGCAGGACCTGGTGAAATCTGAAACCAAAGAGGAACCTAGGAGAGAAATCCACTCCTGGTTAAAGAAGACCCAGCACACTTGCTGATGTTAGACTATGGAGACTATGTGATGTGGGGAGTGATTCCCAGAGCAGAATCTTCCTAATGCAGCCCCCACTAGACAGAAACCCTATGCATCTGTACAGCACCTAGCACAATGGGGCCCTGACCAGGTTAAGGCCCCTAGGTGCCATTGCAGTATCAATGTTTAATACTAGAAATACCTTTCCTGTGCCGTAAGCCGGAGGGGAAGGAAGATGCTCAAAGCCCCGCAGAGCCCTGACCTGGACGACAGGCCGTACAAGTGCACCGAGTGCGAGAAGTGCTTCCGGCAGAAGAAAATCCTCAAAGCCCACCAGAGCATCCACACCGGAGAGAAACCGCACACGTGCGCCGAGTGCGGGAAGAGCTTCCGGCAGAAGAACAACCTGCGGAAGCACCAGTGGACCCACACCGGCCAGACTCCCCATCAGTGCGCCGAGTGCGGGAAGCGCTTCAGCGAGAAGCAGCGCCTGCGGAAGCACCAGAAGACGCACACGGGGGAGACGCCGTACGCCTGCCCCGAGTGCGGCACGCGCTTCAGCCACAAGCACAACCTGAAAACCCACCAGCGGGTGCACACCGGCGAGACGCCCTACAAGTGCCCCGAGTGCCAGAAAGGCTTCAAGCAGCAGAACCACCTCGTCAGCCACCTGCGCACCCACCGGGAGGAGAAGCTCTACAAGTGTACCCAGTGTGACAGGTTCTTCAGGAAGAAGCCCAACCTGCTGAAGCACCAGGCGAGCCACGTGGGGGACAGGCCCTATCGCTGCAAGGACTGCGGGAAGACCTTCAAGCAGAACAACCACCTGGTGAGTCACCAGAGGACCCATGCCGCAGGCAGCCTCTACATATGCACCGAGTGCGGGAAGAGCTACAGCCAGTGGGCGCACCTCACCACCCACGGGCAGGCCCACGCCGGGGCGGGCCCGCTGACCTGCAGCGAGTGCCGGTGAGGGCTTCGCACAGACCGTCTCAGAACACATGGATGAGAGACCATCAACAGAACTGAGCATGGTACAGCTTCGTGGAGCAGATGACTAAGGAAAGACCAGGAAAATCAAGACTTTACCCATTTAGATGATATGCTTTTGTTCTGAGTTTGTACAGTGCCTACCACAGAGAGCCCTGGTCCATAGCGAGGGTCGTAGGCACTCTGGTAACACAAATAATAAATCATAATATACCCAGAGGTGAATAGGAAAGCTTCATTGTGAAGCCACTAGGATGGTAAGTGGCAGAGAATCATCCACGCAGGAGAGGAATTCTCTAGGTGTGATAATTACTAGACAGTTTCAGCAATAAATCTAATCTTAGTAGGACAGATGACTCTCCGGAGGAGAGGCGCTGTGTGCATTATGTGGAAATCTGAGTAGCAAGAAGTGTGCTGTTAGAATAGACACATGGAGCTGGATAGAGTGTCACTAATGAGTCCTCTCTGCCCCTGCAGAATTTCTAGCAGAGAGAATGGGTATCATTTTGTTAAAGTATTTCATGAAACACGATGGCTATCTGCTGCATTGTATGTAGTTATATGATGGTCATTTTGTTATTCTCCAGAATAACCATCAGGTTTACACACAGTTGTTGATCAGGTTTCCAATTAACAGCCTCTGTTTTCCTTTCTTGTTTATTCAGGAGTTTCCTGGTTTGCCCCAGAATGTTTCCATTTGCATGACTTTCCAGCCCATCCTTTTAAAAACACCATCTGTTCCCCATGGAAAGTTCTGCCTTATGTTTTTTCCCCAAAGATACTGAATTCAATTCCTTCTGGTGTTGTGTTTTATGGAAAAGCAAGGGGAATAACATAACATAAGAATGGCTCTACTGGGTCAGACCAAAGGTCCATCTAGCCCAGTATCCTGTCTTCCAACAGTGGCCAGTGCCAGGTGCCCCAAAGGGAATGAACGGAACAGAGAATCATCAAGTGATCCATCCCCTGTTGCTCATTCCCAGCTTCTGGCAAACAGAGGCTAGGGACACCATCCCTGCCCATCCTGGCTAATAGCCATCGATGGACCTGTCCTCCAGGAATTTATCTAGTTCTTTTTTGAACCCTGTTATGGTCTTGGCCTTCACAACATCCTCTGGCAAGGAGTTCCACAGGTTGACTGTGTGTTGTGTGAAGAAATACTTCCTTCTATTTGTTTTAAACCTGCTGCCTATTAATTCCATTTGATGACCCCTAGTTCTTGTGTTATGAGAAGTTGTAAACAACACTTCCTTATCTACTTTCTCTACACCAGTCATGATTTTATAGACCTTAATCATATCTCCCCTTAGCCGTCTCTTTTCCAAGCTGAAAAGTCCCAGTCTTATTAATCTCGCCTCATATGGAATCCGTTCCATACCCCTAATCATTTTTGTTGCCCTTTTCTGAACTTTTTCCAATTCCGATATATCTTTTTTGAGATGAGGCGACCACATCTGCACACAGTATTCAAGATGTGGGCGAACCATGGATTTATATAGAAGCAATACGATATTTTCTGTCCTATTATCTATCCCTTTCTTAATGATTCCCAGCATTCTGTTCGCTTTTTTGACTGTCGCTGCACATTGAGTGAATGTTTTCAGAGAACTCTCCACAATGACTCCAAGATCTCTTTCCTGAGTGGTAACAGCTAATTTAGACCCCATTATTTTATATGTAGAATTGGGATTATGCTTTCCCAACTATACATGAGCGAAAATTGCTAAAATGAGATTCCACAGAGAGCAACATATTATGTGCCTAGTTCACCCTACTGGAACATGGATCAGTGCTCCGCAGGCCAAGTGCTTGGTCGAGTTCCATTCAGGGAATTCTTGTCATCCAGGAGTGAGGCAAGTGAGAAGGTTTAGGGCTTCTGTGTCCATGATGGGCACAGCTATGACATGACGTGGCGTCTCCTGTCATTCTAGGCCCTGATCCTGGGAACATACTCATGTTTAACCCTTAGCACGTGAGCCACCCCTTTGCAGTCGGGGACGATTCACCTGGTTAAAGCCAAGCACTTTTGTAAGTGTTTGAAGGATCAGGGCCCTAATTTGTAAACATATTTTTTTCCTTTCTGAGACTAGAAACCTCATTTGAGCCTGGGAAGGGGAACAGAAACAAAGGGATGAATTTTTAACTGTCCCAGCAAAGAACAGGGTGAACAATAGTTTGGGGTGAGTCATTTAAACAAAAGGGCTATTAAAGGGCTCATTGAGATGTATCTATTGTAGAACAATCCCAGCATCAGAGAAAAGATTAATCGGTTTTAAGGGCAATAGGAACCATTCAATCATCTAGTCTGATCCCCTGTATACGGTAGGCGAGAGAATTTCACCCAGTTACTCCTGAACTGAGCTCAAGCATGTTTTCAGGGAAGACAGACCATCCTGATTTGAAGTATCAAAGAATGGCGAAATCTACCACTTCCCTGGGTAATTTGTTCTAGTGTTAAAAATGCATGTCTCATTTCTCATTTTAATTTGTCTGGCTTCCGCTTCCAGCCATTAGTTCTTGTGATGACTTTCGCTGCTGGATTAAAGAGCCGAGCCTGCTAGTACCCAGTGTTTTCTCCCCAGAAGGGTACTTCCAGGCTGTAACCAAGTCAGCTCTCCGTCTTCTTTGTGATAAATTAAACAGACTGAGCTCTTTAACACTCTTGTGTGAAGGCATTTTCTCTAGCCGCTGAGAACCATTTTTATGGTTCTTTTCTGCACCTTCTCCAATTTTTGAACATCCTTTTTAAAATGTCAGTACCAAAATTGGACACAGTAGTCCAGTACCGGTCTCACCAATGCTGTGCACAGAGGTAAAAATTACCTCTCTACTTCTACTCACTGCTCCCCTGTTTATCGAAGGATCACACAGCCCTTTTGTTTGCCACACCATCGCACCAGGAGCTGATGGTTAGTTGTTTGCTCAGCTGACCCCTATGTTTTTTCAGGGTCACCGCTTTCCCGGGTACAGCCCGCAGTCTGTTGCTATGGCTTGCTGTGGCCCACTGCTGCATCCCCAGTCAGGCGCAAAAGACAAAAGGGGTTGAGTTAGCTGTCACCCCTTTCCAGCATGGCACCACCAGCAACAGTGTTATGCAGCAAAGTCACTGGTAGCAAACCAAACAATCATCCCCCATCAGGTCTGCTTCTCCTCGGGGAGGCTCTGGCAGGAGCGCTCCCTAGTCAGACTTCTCCTACCTGGCCCTAGCCAGACTTCTCTGGCTCACAGACAGAGAGCTGGAGGTCTGCTCTTCCTCCCAGCCAGTTCACAGCTGAGCTGGGATCTCCCCCTGGTAATTTCCCCCTGCTAGTCCCACACCTATTGCAGGGCTGAATGGGCCCACAGCAGCTCGTTAAGGCTCTCCAGCCAGCATGGGGCATGTGTACCCCCTCACACCTGCATTCTTTGTTCCTAGCTGTATGACCTCACATGTATTTATCAAATATGGATATAAAATCCCCTCAAATTTCCACCCTTTCGTCTTTGATAATCAAACACTGCTACAAAATCACTCCAAATGTTTGCTTTTATCAAATATGGACATAAAATCCCCTCAGATTTTGATCCGTTTCTCTCATTATCAAATATCAATATAAATGGTATTTTAGATTTTTGCCATTATCCAATTCTCAAATACTGATAGAAAATTTCCTCAGATTTTGGCCCTTTTAATTCTATACTACTATAAAACCGCTTCAGATGTTGCTTCTTCTCTTCAAAATTTTATTGAATACCCTTAGATTTCCCATTTGGTCTTTCTAATTATTTAATATTGATACAGAATCTCCTCACCCTGCACCAGTTTCCATCAGATTACTGAACTGTGATTAAAATCTCCTCAGATTATGCCATTTTTCATCCAATTTTCAAATATTGACATAAAACCCCCTGAAATGTTCCCTCTCTCTCAGTTATTGAAGAATTATTTAAAACTGCCTTTGCATATTGCCCCTTGTCACTAAATATCAAAATTTGATTTTAAAAGCCTCAAATTTTTCCCATGTTCTCCCCAATTCTCAAATGTTGGTATAAAATCCACTCATGCTTTGCCTCTCCTCTCTAATTATTAAGTATTTATATAAAATCGCCTCTGTTTTCTATCTAATTTTCAAATACAAATATAAAACTCCCTCTGACTTGGGGTTTCCCATCCTGTCTAACTGCAACTCGTTTTGGAGGGAAACTGCTGGCCTGTGTTTTTAACTCAGATGGGCCCTTGCTCTGGATTAACTGCACGGACGGGCTGACACTGAAACACTGGTGGGAGCGAGATTGGAACCCAGGGCTGCCAAGGGTCAGGCCCCTTCTGTGGTACTCGTGCGCTGGGCACCGTGTCATGTCAGCCGCAGCCTGGCGGGACCCTCGCACACTCAGCCGGGCCGTGGGCAGCAGCTGCAGATCCTGCTCTGGGGCACCTGGCACTGGATTGGAGGCAGCCAAGTGGTCTCGTTGCCTCTCGGCGTTCTCTGACACCCCGCTCGCAGGCCCTTGGGGAGGAGGTGTAGCAATGGTAGTGGAAGATGATAAGCAGTGGGGGACCTGGGGATCAAGGGAGGGAAGAGAAGAGGGCTGGCGAAGGGGGAGAAAATGGGGCAGGGGCAGAATCATAGACTTTAAGGTCAGAAGGGACCGTTATGATCATCAAGTCTGACCCCCTGCATAACGCAGGCCACAGAATCTCACCCACCCACTCCTGTAACAAACCCCTAACCTATGTCTGAGCCATTGAAGTCCTCAAATCATGGTTTAAGAATGAGGGAGGCTGCCCCAGATCCCCCACTCCCTCAACAGATGCCTGGTTCCCACTGCCCCCTAAGACACTGCCTCTCCCTCCCAACACACACAGCCATTGCCAGGCTGCCACTGCCCTGGAAACCTCCAAGCTCATCTTTCCTCCCCCCACCACCAACAAGCTGTAACCATCACCCCCTGGGATTGCTGTGACACCAGTCCGGCTCCCTGGCAGTGCCCCCGGGGCATCTCTAACCAGGCCAGTGCTGCAAGCCCATATGACTCTAACAGCCGGAGCGGTCTGATACAGCCCTGTGCCAACCAGCTCCGATACTCCACGCTCCTGCTGGGGTCCCCAGACACCCCTTCTAACTCCTCACAGTCACACTGCCCCTTGCTGGTCCACAACCGCTCAGCAAAATCACCACAAATCCCTCTTCCACGCTCCCCACACCTCAGCAGCCCCTGGCTCCTCTCAGTACCTCCTCCCTATTGGCTCCCCAAACACCCCTGGCTCCCCTCCAGTTCCTGCCTCTCCCACACCTGCTCCCCCTGCTCGGGGGGTACCCTGACTTGGAATCAGTGACGATCGGTCCCCAGTGTCACACGTGGGGCTGCACCAGATTTTGCAACTGTGGGAATTGGGCACACTGGGCCCAGTTCTGCTCTCTGTGATAGCAGTGTAAATCCAGAGTAACCCCACTCACGGCACCAGAGTGACTCCAGGCTTACACCAATGTGCCTGGGAGTGGAGTTTTGGCTCATTTGCTGGGCGGGTGGCATGTGTTTGAATCCCAGCCCCTGAACCTCGGGCAATCCTTGTCCCTTTCGCTCCAAGCCAGAGAAACTTTAATTATGGGAGTGGGCCCATTGGACTTTGTTTCAAAATAGGGGTAAAATCCTCATTAGTTCAAATGGTGTAAATCGTTGTATCTCCCTGTACATGCTTAGGGGCCAGCATCTTTACAGCGATGCCGGTGGCTGAATTGGGGTTATTTATGAGGTTAGACAAAGCCACTGTGGTGGGCTGGGATGGGGAAAGCTACTTTGACTAGCCCTTCAGAGTCTGTGCGTCAGCAGCAGCTCCGAGACAGTTGTTTTCAGAATAGTTCCTCTGTTAGAAAGGTAAAATCAAGAGCACAGAAAGCTCCTGATTCAACAAACCTGGAAAACCAGCAGGGCCAGAGTTCACAAGCTCAAAAACAGTAGAGAGAAAGTATCAGAGGGGCGGCCGTGTTAGTCTGGATCTGTAAGAGCGGCAGAGAGTCCTGTGGCACCTGATAGACTAACAGACGTCTTGGAGCAGGAGCTTCCGTGGGTGAATACATGCCATGCAGCCGACGAAGTGGGGATTCACCCACGAGAGCTCATGCTCCAGTACGTCTGTTTGTCTGTCAGGTGCCACAGGACTCTCTGCCGCTTTAGTAGAGAGAAAGTGTCACACGTAAATAGATTTTTTTAAATTAACAATGTTTGTAGTAGCTGCCACTCCATGTGGGTTGCTGTATCGGCCTGTTAATGCACAACACAGCTGGTTACAGGCATTCAAACGCCATGTACCTGAGCCAAGTACTGTCTTAAAAGACCAATAAAATCCACCTTGTTGTGTATTAATGCTGAGTCATAACTTATTCACCATACTGCATGGGTTGATACTAACTAACTCAGGCAGAATGGACTCTTGGGGACCTATTATTAATCCAATTATTTGTTAGGAGAGAGAGCTTGTTTCTTACTAATGATCTTTTCTTTTTAGTACAGCAGATGATGCCGTGTTGAATGGAAAACAAAACAAAAATCAGCATAAAACTTGAGAGAACAACTGAAAGAAGATACAGTCTGCAATAGATATGAGAGAGGTTCGCAGAGCTGTCGTAGGAGAGCCAATGCAAAGTGAAAAATAAGAGGAATCACATCAAATATCAAACCAAATAAATCGATTTCAGCAAAGAATCCAAGACAAAGAGCCAAAAGCTTCATAATTCTAGGCAGAGAGACCAGACCAGAGAATAACAACATAAATATACTGCAGAACTGAAGACGCAATCAGATTCCTCACTCCGTGGATTATCCAAATGGAAGAGAAACCATTCAAGAGCTCTGAGTGTGGGAAAATCTTCAATCTGAAATGAAATCAAAACACACAAGGCCAGTCACGCAGGAAAAAAAGCTATAAACGTGTACTGACTAATGGGGGAAAACAACATACAAACTGGAACTGGTCTGAAATTTTCCAGCTGGACAACTGTCAGTTCGAAACCGTTGATTCAACTAAATGAGCATATTGATTTCATCGAACATTTCAATTAAACAGTATCCAAACATTTTGTTTTGATTAAGTCCTAGCGCTTTGTCTCAATCATATAAACTATATTATTCATTATATTACATTATGATATGATATTTGAATACGGTGGAAACAAAGTGCTTTGATAAGGTTGTTTCAACATTTCCGGAACAACACTCGATCTGAAGCAGGCCGCCCCAGCTCTGAAATAGTCCTGATGCTCCGCTCCTATATTAAACTGATCTCTGCATGTCCTTTACAGTTGTGCCCCCTTGTGTGACGTGTGCTGAACTAAGCCACAGGCTGGTACCCCCAAGCATCCTGCTCAGCCCTGAGCGGGCACTTGGCGTGGACCAGAAGCTGACACAGGCCGCAGCAGCTGCCCCAGATCTCCGCACCTAGTTCCCACCTCAGGGCTGCTGGGAAATGTAGTTTATTTTTTACATCAGCGACCAAGAGAAAGAACAGGAAACTACAGCAATTCCCCCCAGGAAGTGGTGCTGTGCAAGCCAGCCCCGACTGCATAGCGAGGGATGGAGCTCAGAGCATCTGGCGCCGCGCTAAGGATGGTCTGAATGGCTCACTCTGGGAATATCCCTTCCATAGATCTGCCTTCCCTTATCTCCCAGCCTTCCCCTCCCCTAGGCCCCAACATCCCTCCCGCTCGCTCGGTCCCTTTGTTCTACCCTTGCACTCACTGTAGCCCTTAGGACAGTCAGACACTGCAAGAGGCAGGAGTGGAAACAGGCTCTCCTAACCCTGAAGAGAGGAGAGATCTGGGAACTCACAGCGGTTATAATCACAGCGTCATCAGGGAACCGGACAGGAAAACACCTGGTGAGATTTCAGCTCAGGTAGGACACTGACTTTCTTGTGTTTGCACCTGGACCATGATGACACAGAGGACTGAACAACGAGCTCTGTCTAGGGAACTGAGCTGCTCAGAAATTTAAAATCTCTTCCACATGTAACCTGCCTTTAAGGGAACAGCTGCATTCCAGGAGAGCTTTCTGCGGGCACTGGGTGGCGCAGGGATGGGTAACTGGGCTGTAAACATGTTTTAGCTCTAGGTTGCTAGTCAAATCCAGACCAAGGTGGCGGTGACTGAAGGTTGCTGCCATCTGAGGCTGTTTGCCGGACTAGCTGTTATACATTCTGGGGATCCCAGTGCAGTTCCTACAGGATGGCGATGGGGTTCTCCTCCCCAAGCCTACCATCACAACTGGCCCACGGTCACGGAGTCCCCGGGCGATGCTCTGGAACTGCTCCCCATGAAGCCAGGCAGGACTCTGGGGAAGTCTCCTCTCTGGGCGCAGCCTGTCTGCAGGACACACAGCTCACCCAGCTTCCACCTTCCTGGGTCTGACCTCGGAGCATTCAGCATCCTCTGCCTCTCCGTGCGCTTCCCACAGCGAGTCCGCCCAGGCGGGGTTCTGGGGAAGCCAGAGAGTCCTGCCCCTCAACTCTGCAGTCAGACGGGACTGTCAGTCAGCCAGTAACACAGAGGTTTATTAGACGACAGGAACATGGTCTAACACAGAGCTTGTAGGTGCAGAGAACCGGACCCCTCAGCTGCGTCCATTTTAGGGGCCAGTGAGCCAGACAACCCCGTCTGCACTTCACTCCATGTCCCAGCCAGCCCCAAACTGAAAATCCTTCCAGCCCCTCCTCCTCTGGGCTTTGTCCCTTTCCCGGGCCAGGAGGTCACCTGATTCCTTTGTTCTCCAGCCCTTTAGCTCTCACCTTGCAGGGGGGAAGATCCCAGGGCATCAGTGGCCAGGAAACAGGGTGTTGGCCATTCTCTGTGTCCAGACCCCTGCAGACACCTGCCCTCTAGGGCTCTGCAATGATCATACACCCTTACCCCACCCCCTAGAGACTTAAGAACTGCCTAGGGGAAACTGAGGCACCCCCACACTATTCAGAGGAAACATTAAGAACAGTCCCACTTCGTCACACCCATCGCAACAGAGCCGCTGTAGACCGAACAGTGGCTCTCAACCTTCCCACACGACTGTGTCCCTTGCAGGAGTCTGATTTGTCTGGCGTACCCCCAAGTTTCACCTCACTTGAAAACAACATGCTCACAAAATCAGACATAAAAATACGGAATTGCCACAGCCACGCTGTTACGGAAACGTTGCTGATGTGCTCATTGTTACCATACGATTATCAAATACATCCATTGCAATATATTACTGTCCTTACATTTCAGTGAATAGTGTGCAGAGCAGTATAAACCAGTCATTGCCTGTATGACGTCTTCGCTAGTGCTTTCTATGTAACCTGCTATAAAACCAGGCAAATGTCTAGATGAGCTGACGTGGCCCCTGGAAGACCCCTGCGTCCCCCCAGGGGTACATGTCCCCCTGGCTGAGAACCGCTGGAATAGATCACGGCGAGTCCCCTGCCGCAGGCAGATTCCCGGCCGTTCATAGCTAAGGCACGTGGGCTGGCCCCCGTGAGAAGCGGAGCCCGCGGCTGCACCCGTCACTGGGTGAACCCAGGGTTTCAGTCTCTGGAGATGTCAGGCGGGCGCCTTTCACAAGCAGTCGTGTATCTAAGCAGCTGGCTTTTATCCCACACACCTGAGCACACAGAATTTTGCTACCTATATAGGTTGTTTGCTACTCCAGGCAATGGAAACATCACTGACAAATATCTGTATACAACACAAGGGGCCAACCATCTAATCACACAAACCCAAACATCCTTGCCCTGCCCCTGCCCCACTCCTCCCCCAAGGCCATGCTCCTGCCCCGTCCCTTCTCTGAGGCCCCACCCCCCGCTCAGTCCATCCCCCCCTCCGTTGCTCGCTCTCCCCCACCCTTACTCACTTTCACCAGGCTGGAGCAGGGAGTTGGGGTGCGGGCTCTGGGCTGGGGCTGAGGGGTTTGGAGTGTGGGAGGGGCTCAAGGCTGGGGCAAGAAGTTGGGGTGCAGGAGGGGGTGCAGGCTCTGTGCGGGAGTTTGGGTGCAGGAGGAAGCTGAGGTCTGGAGTGCAGGAGGGGGTGAGGGGTGTGAGCTCTGGGAGGGCTTTGGGGTCAGGAGGGGGCTCAGGGCTGGGGCAGGGGGTTGGGGTGAAGGAGGGGGTGAGGGATGTGGGCTCTAGATGGGAGTTTGGATGCAGGAGGGGGCTCACGGCTGGGGCCGGCAGGGGGTTGGGGTGCAGGAGGGGGTGAAGGGTGCAGGCTCCAGCCGGGCAGTGCTTACCTAGGGCAGCTCCCGGAAGTGGCCAGCATATCTGGCTCCTAGGCTCAGAGGCAACCAGGTGGCTCTGCGCACTGCCCCTGCAGCTCCCCTTGGCTGAAGTTCCTGGCCAATGGGAGCTATGGAGTCTGCGCTCGGGGCGGGGACACCACACAGAGACACCCTGGCCACCCCTGCACCTAGGAGCTGGACATGCCGGCCACTTCCAGGAGCCGCACGGGACCAGGGCAGGTAGGGAGCCTGCCTTAGCCCCGCTGTGCCGCTCACCGGACTGTTGGCCTATTAAAATCTCCCGGATAGCTTTCAATAGCCGCCGGGAGATTGAGGCCGATTCCGGTGGACTCCTGGCCAATCCAGGAGGGTGGGCAACCCTAGCTGCTGATGCCAGCACTGCCTGGCATTTGTGTTCTCCAAGATGCAGCGGGCGTTTGAGGGAGAGATCGGGGATGTCAAGGCCTCCTTGTCTTAGGAAATACTAAACAAGAAATTTTTATCCTAACCATAGTGTGATGCTTTTTGGGCTCTGCCCAGTGATGAGCTGCCAAAATCTTAACAACTGGTTCCCTATAAAAAGTTCTGATTTAAGGGATGTGCCCCAGTATGTATTTTTATGTACCAACAGGGTTACCCTACGTCCGTATTTTCCCGGGAGGAATTTTTAAAATTTAAAAAATGTCCGGGGAAATACGGGTGTGTGTTAACCCTGTCGAAAGTTCCTTTTTAAAAAGATGGGCCTGACCTAGCAATGAGCTTGTTTCACATGTGTGGGGCCCCGCCACGCCCTGGGCATGTGCTAGGGTGACCAGATGTCCCGATTTTATAGGGACAGTCCCGGTTTTGGGGTCTTTTTCTTATATAGGCTCCTATTATCCCCACCCCCGTCCTGATTTTTCACACTTGCTGTCTGATCACCCTAGGGTGTGCACATGTGTGGGTCCCAGCTGCTCCCGGCCCCCCTCATTGAAGCAGGTCTGCAGGGTTACTGCCCTGGGAACTGCAGGGCACCAATGGATGTGGGGCCAGCTGCAGACAGGGGCGTGGGGCAGGGCTAGCTGGAGGCAGGGGGGGCAGGGCTGGCTGCAGGCAGGGCAGGGGGTGCGGAGCTGGCTGGAGACAGGAGGGTGGGGGGTTGGCTGCAGGCAAGGGGGTGCAGGGCTGGCTAGCGACAGGGCAGGGGCTGACTGCAGGCAGGGTAGGGGGGTGCAGGGCTGGCTGGAGACAGGGGCTGGCTGTAGGCAGGGCAGGGGGTGCGGCGGGGCTGGTACGGCAGGGCAGGGGTGCGGCAGAGGCAGAGGCTGGCTGCAGGCAGGGTGCGGGGGTGGCTGGAGGCAGGGGTTAGCTGCCGGCAGGGCAGGGGGTGTGGCAGGGCCTGGCTGCGGGCAGGGCAGGGGGTGTGACAGGGGCTGGCTGCGGGCAGGGCAGGGGGTACGGTTATCTCAAGTGCTTATATACGAATGCACAAAGCCTTGGAAACAAGCAGGGAGAACTGGAGGTCCTGGTGATATCAAGGAATTATGACGTGATTGGAATAACAGAGACTTGGTGGGATAACTCACATGACTGGAGTACTGTCATGGATGGTTATAAACTGTTCAGGAAGGACAGGCAGGGCAGAAAAGGTGGGGGAGTTGCACTGTATGTAAGGGAGCAGTATGACTGCTCAGAGCTCCGGTACGAAACTGCAGAAAAACCGGAGTGTCTCTGGATTAAGTTTAGAAGTGTGTGCAACAAGAGTGATGTAGTGGTGGGAGTCTGCTATAGCCCACCGGACCAGGGGGATGAGGTGGATGAGGCTTTCTTCTGGCAGCTTGTGGAAGCTACTAGATCGCACGCCCTGGTTCTCATGGGTGACTTTAATTTTCCTGATATCTGCTGGGAGAGCAATACAGCGATGCACAGACAATCCAGGAAGTTTTTGGAAAGCGTAGGGGACAATTTCCTGGCGCAAGTGCTGGAGGAGCCAACTGGGGGGGCGCTTTTCTTGACCTGCTGCTCACAAACCGGGTAGAATTAGTGGGGGAAGCAAAAGTGGATGGGAATCTGGGAGGCAGTGACCATGAGTTGGTTGAGTTCAGGATCCTGACACAGGGAAGAAAGGTAAGCAGCAGGATACGGACCCTGGACTTCAGGAAAGCAGACTTCGACTCCCTCAGGGAACGGATGGGTAGGATCCCCTGGGGGGCTAACATGAAGGGGAAAGGAGTCCAGGAGAGCTGGCTGTATTTCAAGGTATCCCTGTTGAGGTTACAGGGACAAACCATCCCGATGTGTCGAAAGAATAGTAAATATGGCAGGCGACCAGCTTGGCTTAACGGTGAAATCCTAGCGGATCTTAAACATAAAAAAGAAGCTTACAAGAAGTGGAAGGTTGGACATATGACCAGGGAAGAGTATAAAAATATTGCTCGGGCATGTAGGAATGAAATCAGGAGGGCCAAATCGCACCTGGAGCTGCAGCTAGCGAGAGATGTTAAGAGTAACAAGATGGGTTTCTTCAGGTATGTTGGCAACAAGAAGAAAGCCAAGGAAAGTGTGGGCCCCTTACTGAATGAGGGAGGTAACCTAGTGACAGAGGATGTGGAAAAAGCTAATGTACTCAATGCTTTTTTTGCCTCTGTCTTCACGAACAAGGTCAGCTCCCAGACTGCTGCGCTGGGCATCACAAAATGGGGAAGAGATGGCCAGCCCTCTGTGGAGATAGAGGTGGTTAGGGACTATTTAGAAAAGCTGGACGTGCACAAGTCCATGGGGCCGGACGAGTTGCATCCGAGAGTGCTAAAGGAACTGGCGGCTGTGATTGCAGAGCCATTGGCCATGATCTTTGAAAACTCGTGGTGAACGGGGGAAGTCCCGGATGACTGGAAAAAGGATAATGTAGTGCCAATCTTTAAAAAAGGGAAGAAGGAGGATCCTGGGAACTACAGGCCAGTCAGCCTCACTTCAGTCCCCGGAAAAATCATGGAGCAGGTCCTCAAAGAATCAATCCTGAAGCACTTACATGAGAGGGAAGTGATCAGGAACAGTCAGCATGGATTCACCAAGAGAAGGTCATGCCTGACTAATCTAATCGCCTCTATGATGAGATTACTGGTTCTGTGGATGAAGGGAAAGCAGTGGATGTATTGTTTCTTGACTTTAGCAAAGCTTTTGACACGGTCTCCCACAGTATTCTTGTCAGCAAGTTAAAGAAGTATGGGCTGGATGAATGCACTAGAAGGTGGGTAGAAAGTTGGCTAGATTGTCAGGCTCAACGGGTGGTGATCAATGGCTCCATGTCTAGTTGGCAGCCGGTGTCAAGTGGAGTGCCCCAGGGGTCGGTCCTGGGGCCGGTTTTGTTCAATATCTTCATAAATGATCTGGAGGATGGTGTGGATTGCACTCTCAGCAAATTTGCGGATGATACTAAACTGGGAGGAGTGGTAGATACGCTGGAGGGCAGGGATAGGATACAGAGGGACCTAGACAAATTGGAGGATTGGGCCAAAAGAAATCTGATGAGGTTCAATAAGGATAAGTGCAGGGTCCTGCACTTAGGACGGAAGAACCCAATGCACAGCTACAGACTAGGGACCGAATGGCTAGGTAGCAGTTCTGCAGAAAAGGACCTAGGGGTGACAGTGGACGAGAAGCTGGATATGAGTCAGCAGTATGCCCTTGTTGCCAAGAAGGCCAATGGCATTTTGGGATGTATAAGTAGGGGCATTGCCAGCAGATCGAGGGACGTGATCGTTCCCCTCTATTCCTCATTGGTGAGGCCTCATCTGGAGTACTGTGTCCAGTTTTGGGCCCCACACTACAAGAAGGATGTGGATAAATTGGAAAGAGTCCAGCGCAGTGCAACAAAAATGAGTAGGGGTCTGGAACACATGACTTATGAGGAGAGGCTGAAGGAACTGGGATTGTTTAGTCTGCAGAAGAGAAGAATGAGGGGGGATTTGATAGCTGCTTTCAACTACCTGAGAGGTGGTTCCAGAGAGGATGGTTCTAGACTATTCTCAGTGGTAGAAGAGGACAGGACAAGGAGTAATGGTCTCAAGTTGCAGTGGGGGAGGTTTAGGTTGGATATTAGAAAAAACTTTTTCACTAGGAGGGTGGTGAAGCACTGGCATGTGTTGCCTAGGGAGGTGGTGGAATCTCCTTCCTTAAAAGATTTTAAGGTCAGGCTTGACAAAGCCTTGGCTGGGATGATTTAATTGGGGATTGGTCCTGATTTGAACAGGGGGTTGGACTAGATGACCTCCTGAGGTCCCTTCCAACCCTGATATTCTATGATTCTATGTGACAGGGGCTGGCTGTGAGCAGGGCAGGGGGTGCGGCAGGGGCTGGTGCGGGCGCGGCAGAGGGTGTGGCAGGGGCTGGCTGCGGGCAGGGGGTGCGGCAGGGGCTTGCTGCGGGCAGGGCGGGGGTGCGGCAGGTGCTGGCTGCAGGCAGGAGGTGCAGGGGTGGCTGGAGACAGGGGCTGGTGCGGGCAGGGGGGCTGGGTGTGTGGCAGGGGCTGGCTGCAGGCAGAGCAGGGGGTGCGGGGGTGGCTGGAGACAGGGGCTGGTGCAGGCAGGGGGACCAGGGGTGCAGCAGGGGCTGGCTGCAGGCAGGGCAGGGGGTGGCTGGAGACGGGCTGGCTGCAGGCAGGGCAGGGGGTGGCTGGAGACGGGGGCTGGCTGCAGGCAGGGGGTGTGGGGGTGGCTGGAGGCAGGGGCTGGCTGCAGGCAGGGGGTGTGGCAGGGGCTGGCTGGAGGCAGGGCAGGGGGTGACTGGAGTCAGGGGGTGCAGGGGTGGCTGGATACAGGGGCTGGTGCAGGCAGGGGGTACAGGGGGTGCAGCAGGGGCTGGCTGGAGACAGGGGCTGGCTGCAGGCATGGGGTGCGGGGGTGGCTGGAGGCAGGGGCTGGCTGCAGGCAGGGGGTGCGGGGGTGGTTGGAGACGGGGACTGGCTGCAGGCAGGGCAGGGGGTGGCTGGAGACGGGCTGGCTGCAGGCAGGGCAGGGGGTGGCTGGAGACAGGGGTTGGCTGCAGGCAGGGCAGGGGCTGGCTGGGGGCAGGGGCTGGCTGCGGGCAGGGCAGGGGGTGCAGGAGTGGCTGGAGACGGGCTGGCTGCAGGCTGGGCAGGGGGTGCGTGCGGCAGGGGTTGGCTGCAGGCAGGGCAGGGGGTGCGGCAGGGGGTGGCTGGAGGCAGGGTAGGGGGGTGGCTGCAGGCAGGGACTGGCTGCAGGCAGGGCAGGAGCTGGCTGGGGGCAGGGACAGGCTGTGGGCAGGGCAGGGGGTGCAGGTGGCAGGGGCTGGCTGCGGGCAGGGCAGGGCAGGGCAGGGGGTGCAGGTGGCAGGGGCTGGCTGCGGGCAGGGCAGGGGGTGCAGGGGTGGCTGGAGACGGGCTGGCTGCAGGCTGGGCAGGGGGTGCGTGCGGCAGGGGCTGGCTGCGGGCAGGGCAGGGCAGGGGCTGGCTGGTGGCAGGGGCTGGCTGCGGGCAGGGCAGGGGGTGCAGGGGTGGCTGGAGACGGGCTGGCTGCGGGCAGGGCAGGGGCTGGCTGCAGGCAGGGCAGGGGGTGCGGCAGGGGGTGGCTGGAGGCAGGGTAGGGGGGTGGCTGCAGGCAGGGCAGGAGCTGGCTGGGGGCAGGGACAGGCTGTGGGCAGGGCAGGGGGTGCAGGTGGCAGGGGCTGGCTGCGGGCAGGGCAGGGCAGGGGGTGCGTGCGGCGGGGCTGGCTGCGGGCAGGGTGGTGGGGGCTCGCGGGGAGAGCAGCAGGACGCAGCCCCGGCCCAGCAGAGCAGCCGGGGACCCCCCAGGCAGCAGCGGGAGCCCCAGGGCCAGGGGAGCAGCAGCACCAGGGCTCATGCCCAGGGCCGGGGGGCAGCCCACGTGGCTCCCGCAGCAGCGCCCCCGGTGGCCGGAGGAGGAATCACATCACTTCCCGGCCGGAGCCCAGCAAAGCCCCCTGCAGGGAAGCGGGTTAACAGCCGGTTCTAAAACTGGTTCAGAATTTAACAACCAGTTCACGCGAACCGGTGCGAACCGGCTCCAGCTCCCCCTGGCTCTGCCATGGCTTTTAATGCCACAGCATGTAATGGGGCTAAAAGTGAACTTACCATGAGCATGCATGTTCCAAGCTATAAACACGTGTGTACACTGTAGGAAGCCACTGCTTTTGCTTTAAGAGCTTTGGTCGGTTAATTGAAGAGGTGACAGTGTGAGGTGTCTGAAATACGACACAAGGGAAATCTCTATACCCATTGGTCCAAATTATCGCGGACTCTCAAACATTACACCCGAGAGGCAGCACTTTCAATGTAGCAACAACAGTGAAGAATCAAAAATTTTGGAGACCCCCCTGTGAATAAGAGTTTTCTGGATTATTTTTGCATTTGACGATAGCGCCATTGCTAGCAACAAAATAATTTGCTTTTTCCATTTTCATTACAGTGGGTAAAAGGTCCACGAGTGGAAACTAGAGAAGAGAAACACCATAAAAATATAAAGCAACTGGAGGAACGGGAGTTTCCGAGAGAAAGACACAAAGAGCTGGTTTCTGGAGCAGTGATAATGAGAGAAGCTGAAACAGCTGGAGGAGACTGAGAAAGAAGAGGAAGCCAGCAGAAAACAAGCCAGATACATTCACTGCTGGTGAAAGAAGTTTCAACAAACTCAGCAGCGTTTTTAAAATTCCCGGTGCCATGCACACAGATCTGGTACACATACAATAATCACACCCATTAGACACCACAGAAAAAAAACATGTCCGTTTGGGGGAAAAACTCATGGAGTCTTCACAGAATTAACAGAGCTGGCTGAATGATACGAAACATATTTTGGAGACTGGAAGCTATTAATTTGGTTCCATGTTATTTCTGCAGTCTCATTCTTTGCTATTCACCAGTATTTGAATAGCCATCGGGTATTTGTGAAAATGTCTGCGCACCGCCAGAGTTTCATGAATTTTAACTCCAGTGATTACCTGTCCAAACCTTCATCCGGGGAAACACATTTTTCATTATTTACTATTCATTATTTTTTTAGTTTAAACGTTTCAGCCATCCAGTCAGGGAGCAGAAACAATCCCATGGGACCGAGGTGATCAGTCAAACCCCCACGAATAACGAATAGTAAATAACTTGTGGACAACCCATAGACTGAGATTTATTAGCACAAACCCGCTGGTGAACACATGCACATTGCAAAGATGCTCCGGCCGAGGAGAAAGGGCTGAATCCCCAGCACAGGCCGATCGCAATGACCCATCGTTCAGCCAGCTCTAGTAGATAATACCCTGTATGTGGGCCACGAACAGCAACACCATGTTCCAAGCTGCCCAGGTTCTCTGTGGGGATGAGAAGCCCTATAAATGCAGCGAGTGTGGGAAAGGCTTTGGCCAGGAGAAGATCCTCCGAGAGCACCGGCGAATCCACACAGGCGAGAGGCCGCACAAATGCGCTCACTGCGGGAAAAGCTTCACCTGGAGCACCAGCCTGATCAAGCACCAGCAGATCCACACGGGCGGCAAGCTGCACGCCTGCCCCGCGTGCGAGAAGAGCTTCCGGTGGCGGCATAGCCTCCTGCAGCACCAGGCGGTGCACACCGGCGCCAAGCCGCACACCTGCGCCCAGTGCGGCCGCAGCTTTGTGGAGAAGCAGGCGCTGAAGAAACACGAGAGCATCCACACGGGGGAGAAGCCCTTCACCTGCAGCGAGTGCGGGAAGAGCTTCCGGCAGAAGGGCAACCTGGTGTCGCACGAGAGGAGCCACCTGAAGGAGAAGCCGCACCGATGCCCCGAGTGCGGGAAGTGCTTCCGGGAGCAGCGCTTCCTGGCCACCCACCAGCGCACCCACACCCAGGAGCGGCCCTACCAGTGCGCCCAGTGCCAGAAGAGCTTTGGTGCCAAGCAGGGGCTCCGCGTCCACCAGCGCCTGCACACCGGGGAGCGGCCCTTCCCGTGCCCCCTGTGCGGGAGGAGCTTCACCGAGAGGAAGAACCTCAACAAGCACCAGCGGACCCACAGCGGGGAGACGCCCTACACCTGCGGGGAGTGCGGGAACAGCTACACCCAGAAGTACAGCCTGAAGGTACACCAGCGAACCCACAGCGGGGAGACCTCCCACACCTGCGGGGAGTGTGGGGAGCGCTTCAAGCAGAGGAACCACCTGGTGAGCCACCAGCGGGGCCACAAAGCCGGGAGCCTCTACATATGCGCCGAATGTGGAGAGAGCTACAGCCAGTGGGCGCATCTCACCGCCCATGAGAGAATCCACACCAGGCAGAGCCAGCCAGCGCGCACCGAATACGGGTAACAGAGGCAACGTATCTCAGAGCATGCCAAGGATCCACACGACAGCCCATATCCATACACCAGTTAAAGGCCCCGGCTACGCCGCAGGTATAGGGCATTAGCCAGAGCCATTCTGAAACAGAATGCTTCCCAGAGAGGCGTCAGGACGTCTGGGCCTTCCCGGTCTCTCTAAGGACCTGATTCAATCAATGGGAATCTTTCTGTTGACTTCAGTGAACACTGGATTGGGTCTCAGTTGTGTAGACTGGGTAGAACTTGCCATAAACCATTTTACTAGCCAACTAGATAACAGTGATAAGCATCATGCACAATTTACGTGGTGTCCTAGACTTGCAGGTACTTGTAAACATCAATTAATTAAATGAGGCAGAATCCTAGTCTAGGAAGCCGTGTAGGTCAACCAGTTTGTCACACAGCCCGTAGCGGGTTGGGGATCCATTTGGAAGTTGTGTTCCCGCCTTCCTGGAACAATTTTATTTCAGAAGAGCTCTGTCTAAAATGTTGTCCCTCTCGGGCAGGCAGGGCCAAAGAAACTGGTTCAAAACACAGAGAATGCTTCGCAGAGCCAGTCCTGCTCCCATTGAAGTCCATGGAGAATTTGCAATCGAGCCCTTTATGTTTGCTGTCTGCGCACATGCATTTGGAGTAGAAAGTGCACACTTTAAAGGAAAGTGATTCCATTTCTAAGGCACTTATCTCACACAAGAAACATCTGTTTTGACATTGATGCTGATGGTGTAAACAAAGCTAGAGCTGGGGCAGAGAAGACCTTTAAGCTATAACTTTCCCTGGGTTTAGCTGAGCGGGAAAGGCTGGATCCCCTGGCAGCAAACAGAACACCAGCATCTTCAGAAAAGGACAGTTGGTGAAAGAACTTCTGGGGGATCCTGGCAAGGATGGACCCATGACAAGCATCACTAACCTCCCTACTGGGTATACTTGAAGTCTTAAATTTAAAAAGCTAATGCCCTCAAGGGACAGGCAGTTTGAGACGGGCAACAAACCCAAACGCACAACATACACCATACAAAAACCCACCAGCCACAACTAGCAAAGAGATTCCTCCAATAACACAATGTTGTTAATGTATGATTGTCTCCTAGAGAAGAGCCCTGTGATCCAGATTCTCGCTCATCATGAGTGGATGCTGGTATTCCAATGGGGAAGGAAGCACCCAGTCCCGCCTATTTCATGGAGGAGTTTGAAGGGGACTTCCTGAATTTAGCTACCAAAGATCACCCTTTGCATGTAGAGAAATACCACATATATGCACCACTTGCTGGAGGTGCAGGTCTTGGTGGGACATTTATCAATGACCTTGCTGGACACGAGGGATGGGACCAAGTTCTGGCAGCCACTGGGCAGCAGAAAGCTTAGCTCGAAGCACATGCTAAGATGTTCATTCTTCCAGATTTAAGTCCAACCAGAGCAAATGGAAGCAGAGAGTGCCATGCTGTGAAGTAGAAGTCATGTGGGTGAGGACACAAGGGTTTCCATTCTGTGTCCTGCCAATGCATGGGCAATTCCTAACAAGTCCTTTACCTGTTGGGACGTCGGGTGATGAAATTGGGTGCTGGGAAACATCACACCAGACAAATGCCCGAGAAAAAGAAGGTTTGAAAGGTGACCCGGGAGATGAATGAGCTGTAACTGTGCCATTTGTATGACGCACACTCAGGCTGTGAATGCCGGCTTTCTTAGAATGTATTTCTATAATTTATTATTTGCATAATGGCAGCAGATGCTGAGCAGTTTACGGACAGGTATAAAGGAAAGGCTTCGCCTCATTGATTTTACAGTTTCGAGTTCCTGTCTACTATATGGTCCTTAATGCACAAACATTAAAATCAGCACTAAGAGTTGCTGATGTCCGTTCCTTACCATTTAATTGTGTTGAGATGGAAGCTACTCGACCCATTGTTCCGTAGAAAGATGGAGCACAGAATTCTCTTTAAATGTGGTATTGATTTTCTAATGTGGTAAGGAGAGTGATCCTGGCAATTTAGGTCTGTAACTCATAGCCCTAGTAAAAACAGTAAAACATATATTACAGAAAAAAAATCACTGATCAGCCACAAGGAACAGAACCATGAGCAATAATGAGCTTGGGTTAATTATTATGAGGAATATCTTAGGCACAGAGAATGTGTTTCGTGTTGCACAAGACACAGATTGGTTGTCTATAACTAACCCTAAGAGGTGCTGATGGTCTGTAAGACGAATATAGAAAAGATGAGATGTATTCGGAGATTCTCTGTGAAAAGAATAAAATTTCCTGCATAAACACACCTGGCATTTTGGCAGAACGGTGAATTAGTGGGTGAAGTGACTGCAATAAATCAGAAATGTGAAATATATTTGGATTTTAGTCAAACATTTGATTCTGTGACTCACAAAATTTCCTTTCAAAAGTTCATTCAGATTGGTGTGGATTGAAAACCGGTTGGAAGACCAGTCAGTCTAACCTATCTATGTTCTTATTATGGTTCCCATCATTGGGGTATTTTCACAAAGAGTAATCAGAAATGGCCATGTAACCAGTTATAGGGAGGTGTCTCACAGGGTTTACAGGAACTGGTGAGAGGTCCTGTTTTAGTTAACATCTCAGTCAGTGATCTAAAAGATGAGGTGACCAGCACACCAATGAAATCTGTACATGATACCAAATTGGAAGGACTTGCTAACATCAATAATCCCAAGGGTCCTAGTGGGATTAGAGACCTGGGCAGGAAATAACTAAATTAAGATCAACTTGGAAAAAAGCAGTTAGTACATGTCAAGGAAAGTAACCAGAATCTCACATACTCAGTGGGGAAGGAGACACCTGGGAAGCAGAAATGGCTGGAATGGACCCAGGTCTGACGGTGGTCAGCAAATTAGACATGTGATGTGGTGGCAAAAAGTTGTGTCCTGCATGCAATTGTTAGCACTGGTTTTCAAAAATCAAATGAGAAGAAAATTCCCAAAGTGACCAGATCATCAGTTATCAGAGCATTTCCTATTGGTCCTTGAAGACTTCATGTTACAATTTTTAAATGGGCTGGGAAGTTCTTGGATACGGCATAACGGTCCATGGCCACATGTCCATAGACGCCACCACAACCAACTCAGCTGCACTCCTGCAGCAGTGTGCTCCTCAAACCCAGGACCACAGGGATGGCCCTGAGAAGACAGTAGCAGCAAGGCTTTCCTCCCTCCCTGGCTCCAGACACACACTAGGGGGTAATGGTGCATGAACCTGCTAGCCTGGATACTGCACAGTTCTCCTTACCTGTGAGCTGAGGCTGGAGAATTTCTTTCTAGATAGTTAAGTGGTTAGAAGAAAATTCTCGGTTTTATTTGGGGTTGGTTTGGGGTTGGTTTTTTTTTTTTTTTTTTTCTTTGTTTTATATAGTTCCTTGTTCTAGCAGCCATGTGGATGCCAGGGGCTGGGGCTCTTGGATTGGTCCCTGCCCCCAGGCCGGGTAGGCTTACCTGCCCCGGGTAGAACACTAAATGCCTCTTGACCCTGGACGTTCAGCCCTGTTTCCAAGACAGCTCTGGCCAGAGTGGGGCCTTCCGAGGGTACACGGGAGGGAGTAAAAGAGATGAGCTGCAGGATGGCATCGGAGGACCGCACGCTAGGTGTATGCGACTAGCTGAGACTTGCCCTCTCCCTCTCAGGCCATAGGCATACGGACTGGGTCGTTCCGTAGGGTTAAAAAACTTTTCCTCCCACCCCCGGGAAAGAAGCCAACACTTCATTGATTCATGCACAGATAAAACAGATGGTGCCTCCTAGCAGCAGGCCCTGCGGCTCAGTACGCACAGAGAAATACCGGCCGGAGCAGCAGCTCAAAGACCCCAGCTGGTGCCATGGGGCTCATAGGGATCAAACCAGACCTGTGCAAGGAGCTGGGGCACATGGAGATGCTACTCTCATTAGCTGCGGCGGAGCCCTCCATCTTGGCTCCAACGGGATTGTGCGGAAGAACTACTCCAGTGGGAGGAGATTAGGTGACAAATTCAGATCCTGAAATGAGTTTCTCAGACTGGCGTTCGCATCGCATTAACAGCGAGGGCACGGGAAATGCGCTCAGTCACGCAGCTCCCCTTGGAAGTACTGTTTGGGAAACCCAGCGGGTGAGTCTTTGGCACATATGTTACGAGGGAGGTCTCTGATCTCCTGAAACTCCACCCTGAAGGCAAGTGATCTCCGAAGAAACCCAGTTTATTGTGTGGATCTCTTCCTTTCATCTGAATAAATCCCATTCGGCTACAGGCACTGTCTGTCAGGGCCCTTTGAACGTGCAGGGACAAGCCTCAAGAATACGGCTTTGAGATCATTACTGAACAGAGGTGTTGGGCAGCAGGAGGGAACTGATGAAATAGAGAAAGCTGGGAGGGGGACAAGGGCTTGTTTTCTGCTCCACCCCATATCTGTTCTGGGTATCCCCCATCTTGGGGAGAGGGCCTGGTTTGGTTAACCTCTCAGGGAATGCTCTGGAAGAGAAGGTGACCAGCACACCTGTGGATGGCGTCCCCACGGGGCCTTGAGCTCACAGTGCTCGCTGGAGAAGCTTCCATTGGGGGGATGATGTGAGGGTGTCATTCCCCTGCACCCAGCATCCCTCCTCCGCCAGCCCCCACGTCCCTTACGCTCATGGAAGCGGAGGGGAGGAACTAGACCGAAGTCTGTGCACTGTTGCATGTGGCCTGGAGTACATTCCATGGGTCCACAGGGCCTCCCACGTGCTGATGGGACGCTGCTTCCGAGGGCCATTGCAGCTCCAGGGCTCAAGGGTTCCCACTGGTTAAGTGCATGTGATTGTGTCTCCCAAGCCCCAGTGACCATCACAGTCTGCTACTGCCTCAAGCTAACGGAGCGTGGTTGTTTTTTTTCCCTTTAGCTGAACGGGTAGAAGCCAGTGGTTTAAGCGCTGATGTTCCTGGGCCGCGAGAGTGGGGATAGCCATATCTGTGCAGCCAGTTCGTTACACCTAACCAGGGGCTGATGCTGGAAGATCATGGGTGAGCCGCGATCAGGACAGATTTTCACATCAATCAATCATCACACAGCGCAGAGTTCCTTTCAAACACACCTTACTTTATTGATCTCTAGCATTCCAGCTACAGTACCCGAGAGACACCCCCCATTTCACTGCTGCTTCCCCCCAGGATTAACCCTCAGCAGACATGCCCCTCCCCACCATGCTCCTGTCATATTTTCACACCCTTTAATCAACCCATATCCTTCTGCCCAGGCAGGGGTCACTACAAGTATTCAAGCAGATAGTTAAAGACCCAGGATCCTCTATAGAAATACGAGCCATCACATGCCTCTTAATCAGGAATACGGCACTCTCCAGCCATAGAAAGGTCTTGGGGAAATGGTAGCCGTGCCTTCCCAAAGAGAAACTTACCCAGCCAATCCTCTGGGGTTACAGACAACATTCAGATTTTTTTTTTAAATAAAGGGTGTTGGGAGGGTGAGGATCTCAAAAACCTTGTACCGATCGGAGTGTTTGCATGAATCTCTGACGATGAGATACACGTGCTCTCTCATCCAGGGTGGGTACCCTATCCCTTCGTAGGATAAGGGTGATCAGATTTTCTCCTCAGTCACTAAGGCCTCAATCCTGCAAGGTGCTCAGCACTCTGACCCTGATCCAGTGAAGCACTTACGCCCTTGCTAAACCAGTGAGTAGTCCCACTGATGCCAATGCATGTGCCAAAGTGCTTTGCTTTGCTGGATCATGGCCAGAGTATTCAGCACCTTGAAGGATTGAGCCTTTCTGCTCCTGTTCCCACTGAAGTCAATGAGAGCCTGTCCATTTATTTCAACAGGAGTTGGACTGGGCCCTAAAGTCTGATCTATGATGTTAATCTCTGGATGTATCAGCTGTTGTGACTTGAAATCCATGGGTTAATTTTACCCCAATACAGCTCCACTGAACCCAGTAACGATATGCCCATGGCGAGATCCGGAAAGTGAAAATGGCTAGAAACTAAAACTGACCAATCTGGTTTCCTTGCCCAGGCAGAGTGAGATGTAACACTGAGCAAACGGCAGAAAACCATGAAAGGAAAATTCATTTTTCCAAACCATTTCTCTTTTACTCATCTGAACAGCTGAGTGACACAGGCAGGAACCGTTTGTGTTGGACATCTCTTGAGTTTTATGCTGACTGCACTGATGGCCTTTTCCAGCAGCTGCCTCTCCCAGGGAAAACAGACTGAATTCTTGCCCTCCTCACATGCAGCAGAAACTTGCCTCCTTTTGAAACATTAATGAAACCTTCCCCTTCTGCCCGAAATCTTCAGGCATAGAAAAGAAACATTACAAACACAAACAGAAAGGACCAGAAGAGACTAGAACAGGAGGTGGGAAATATCACAAAGGGAAAAATGTGGATGCAACTACATGCCACTGGCATAGCAACTCTCCTTGAACTGGCCTGTAACAGCAACCAGGGAGCAACACTCCAGTGCAGCCACTTGGAGATTTCTTGCTGTCCTGTACAGCAAGGGGAGCGAACAAGATTTTTCCAACATACATGACATTTGTATGATGTCTCTCCTTGTGTTTTATCAAAATATTTTCCCACCTTCAGGAGGTCTCAGGTGTATATTCAGAATTACAGATTCACAGAATTTAAAGCCAGAAGAAATCACTGTGCTCCTCTAGCCAGACCTCCTGCACCAGCCAGGTCACAGAACCATACCCAGTGATTCCGGCAGAGAGAATTATTCTTAGCTTATCTTTGCAGCTCCTTAGTTCTCCAGTTCTGGTTAAGTGATCTCACTCATGCAGATTCACTGGGGAAGTTTTATCTTATGAGGAGCGTGCCCTCCCTTGGGGCATTTAAATGGTCTCCTCTGTTACGGATTCTCTGGGGTATAATGACAGCTGAGGCATGTCCCGTGCTCAGAGCAGGTAAATGGGGCCCCTCCTTTGCGGATTTTCTCATATGTCAGCAGGAATATCCTCAAACCAAGCCTCTCCCACATTCAGTTAACTGGGATGGTCTCTCCCAAGTGCAGGTTCTCTGGGGTTTTGTGGGCCTGCTTCTCCCTGAAGGTTTTGCAGCAAGGACTATATTTGCTCAGTCTCTGCTCTGTGTAGGGTCCCTGGTGATTTAGAAGAAATCTCTGGTCTCTGAAGTTTTTTTTTTTTAATCAATTATGAGGATAACACAGTTTCTCTGGGTTGGATTCCAGGGGGTGGGATGAGATCCTGCTCCAGGTGCCACCTTCTCTCCTGTGTGGTTTCTAGGAGAGGTGGCTGTGGGCTGAAGCTCTTCCCACATACAGTGTATGAATATTTCACATGAGTCATGAGCTCCTGCTTCTTTTTCACACTCATCCTTCTCGCTCCCTGGGTAAATGAACACATTCAGAGATTAATTTATGCGCTAGTGGAAAATTTCCAACTACCCGGATAACGCAAACAATACCGAGCACATATAAATAGTGCTTTACGGGCCAGTGCCAGGGCCAAACACCCCAGGGCAAGAGCTGGGGGGGGAAGCCGGGCAAACATGACTGACAACTGCTGTAATTTACACAGCTCTGCAATGGTCACAAGGCACTCTTAATTCAGCCAAGGGCTGGGATGGTGCAGCCACGTTTGCCTTCTCTGGGCACACTCCCCTCTGCTCTGTTCACTGGCACCAGCCACCCTGCCTGCATCCCCTAACGCAGAGCTGCTGGTACCTTCGTGCTTCCGCTGTCCCAAAAGGGGCTGCAGCAGACGCACCCCAACTGCCCAGCTAAGGGTATTTAACCAACAGCCTGGGAGCTGTGTCTAATTGGCAAGAAGTGAGTGCAGCTCCCCTAACCCTTAATATGGAGGAGGGGCTTACAGAGAGCCCCGATCCCAGCATGCCTGGCCTCGACTTGCTCTGAGCAGCCAGGCGAACGCCGTTTGGAAGACCAGGGCCCTTGTGGCCCACGCTGTAGAACACTGGGCCTGCAGTGATCCCAGGGCTGAATATTGGCCAGGCCAGAACTACGGGCTTTAAGGTCCTCAAGGCTGCAATGCTCCACGACAGAGAGAAAGTGAAGAGAGCTGTTCCTAGTTTTCAGGGGTGCTTGGCATTCACCGCTCCCATGGGAGCCAGCAGGAGGAGTGGGTGCTCAGCACCTCTGAAAAGCAGGCCAGACAGGTCTGATCCTGCAAGATGTCAGGTGTCTCCAATGGAGGCTGAAGGGTACTGACGGGACTCAGCACTTCACAGGATCAGTCCCTACAGCAGCAATAAAGAACTTCACCAGGAGTTTCCCTCATTGTTTAGCTCATCTGCTCCCAAGCACAGGAAGCTGAGCGAGCCGGGACAGGGACAGGGAGCTGGGAGAGGGACGTGGGTGAAGGGCGAGGCCATCACCATGGAGTCGGGGCGCTGGGACCTGGGATTCCTTCTGGGGCTTCTATGTGGGGTGGGCACAGAAGAGCACGAACCTGACCGACCAATGGAAAGAGGAGCTGTACAGGGGGACCCAGAGTCAGTGCGTGAAGACAATCAGTATCCCCTGTGGGGACTCCGGGGTGCGTAAGGAGCGACTGAGGCCTTCTGGACACTCCGAACGTTCACATGGCGTCTCTGCCGTTCAGCCTCTCACATCCAGTGCAGTCATGGGCCCCTCCAGGAGCTCCCAGTGGAGTTCAGAGCTATCCGCTCTGCAAAGCTTTTAGCATGACATCAGGCTCATGTCAGGGCTTTGTCTCCCAGGTGGGTTCTCTGGTGCGTAGTCAGGTTTATCTTCTGCGTGAAGGTTTTCCCGCACTCGGGGCATGTGAAGGGGGTCTCCCCAGTGTGGATTCTCTGGTGGATCTTCAGAGAGCCTTTCTGGCTGAAGCGCTTCCCGCAGTCGGGGCAGGCGAAGGGCCGCTCCCCGGTGTGGATGCGCTGGTGGGTGACAAGGCCGCTCTTGCAACTGAAGCTCTTCCCGCACTCGTCGCAGGTGAACGGGCTCCCCCCTTGGTGGGTCTTCTCGTGCGTCACCAGGAACGTGCGCTGGCTGAAGCTCTTCCCGCACTCGGTGCACTGGTACGGCCTGTCCCCGCTATGGGTCCTCTGGTGGCTGGCGAGTGTCTGCTTCTCCTTGAAGGCCTTGCCGCAGTCACCGCATTCGTAGGGCCGCTCCTCCGTGTGGGTCCTCTGGTGGTTGAGGAGGAATCGCTGCTCCCGGAAGCTCTTCCCACACTCGGGGCAGGCGAAGGGCCGCTCCCCGGTGTGGATGCGCTGGTGGGTGACGAGGTTCTGCTTCAGGCTGAAGCTCTTCTCGCAGACACTGCACTTGTAGGGCTGCTCGCCCGTGTGCGTGCGCTGATGGATGATCAGGTTGTGCTTGAGGCTGAAGCTCTTACCGCACTCGGGGCAGACGTAGGCCCTCTCCCCCGTGTGGTTCTTCTGGTGCCGGGTCAGGCTGGGCTGCTGGTTGAAGCATTTCCCGCACAGAATGCATTTGTACTCCCGTTCCTCCGCCTGGCTGTGAATTATGAGGTCTCTCTCATCGCTAAAGCTTTCGTCGCAAGCGGGAAACGTGAATGGCCTTTCTCCGGGGGGGGGCGTCAGGTGAGTCATGAGATCCTGCTTCTGATCCGCACTCATGGGACCGTCATCTCCTGGATAAACAAACACACTGCAGGTAGTAAGCCAGGCCCCAGTGGAAAAGAGCCGTGAACACACCCTTGGACACTGAACAGACTCCTCACGGTCACTTCCAGCATCAACAGCCATTAACTCTGCCTGAAGACAGCTGGGTTTTATTATTATTAACAACACCCCCATTCCATTGATTTGTCCACTTCTACTCAGAATAGCCCCAGTGTGGTTTACAAATATAAACGGATACAGAGATGAAAGGGATCATGCTGAAACGCAGCCTCCTCCAGGGTGGAATACGAGAGCCCTGAAACACCACACAACAACAGCTAAGCACCCAAAAGGAAGACTCCAATTTCAGCTGTGGAGGGAATTTAAATAAAGACAGTGTAACCAATCAAGTCAAATAGGGCACTGACCCTTACCCAGCGTGCCATGCTTCCCGTAATGACTATCAGTGATCAGGGCCTGGCTGTCTTGTATACCTCACCTGAAGGATGGTACCTACAGCAACAGTGACCCGTGCATGTCTACACCCTGGTATTTATTCAGTACTGGAGTAGAGGGAAGAGTGACATCTATTCAGTCTCACCACATCTGTGTATCCTGGGAGGTCTCCAACTCCCCTAGCCTGACTGCTTAACGGGAAGGCATGAGGGGATCACAGCACAAGGTGGGGGGGGGCTGATGGCTGGGGGGTTCCTCGTCATTGGAATATGTTGCAACCAGAGGGAAGTTGTCCCTCTGCTTGTATACGCTCAAGCAGCTGAATTAGGGTGCCCCAGCTTTCCCCAGCAGGCGACTGCATGGAGACCCAGGAGCCCAAGTGATGAAGGTCCTGCCCACAAAGTGGGGCTGGTAGCAGCCAAACTCCCCCTTCACAGTGCCGCCCACAGAGACGACAAATCCCAGCATGCAATGGACCAGAGTCCCAGCATGCAACGAATCAGGCTTAGCCCTGGACCAGCGAGTGCTGCCCGCTGGGGGCAGCCTAGGACCCCGCGCTGTGTCCGCATGGAGACAGGGCAGCCGCGTGGGACAGCCAGGAGCAAACGCGGAGCCGCTGAGCCCCACAATGCCCCCGCCAGGCGTGTTCGCCTCGCCCACGGCGAAGTGACTTGCCCAAGGCCGCGCAGCCAGGCGGTGGCAGAGTTCGCGCTCCACGGGAGCCGGGCAGCGCGTCGCACTCCCTTGGGCTGGCAGCCCGCTCGCGCCCGTGGGCCTGCGGCGTGGGCGGGACCCGTCTCCCCTCTGCTGGGCCGTGTGAATGCCCAGGGGCGTGCTGCCCCCCGACGCCCACCCGCGTCCACCCCGGTACTGCCCCACCCCTACCCCTCGGCGCGGCCGCAGGGCCCCGGCCACGCAGAGCAGCCAGTCACCGGGCCGGGGTCCCCCCCCCACGCGCCTTACTGCGGAATCCCCAAGCGAACGCTCTTACCCAGATCCGCTTTCACTCCGGCGTGGCCGCGCGCAGACGCTGCACCGGTGCGGGACCCGCAGCGAGCGCCGGGAGGTTTGTGTACAGCAACCCAGCCCGGGCTGTTCCCCAGGAGACAGGCTGGGTCCCGGGTGCAACTCCCCGGCTCCCTCGGTGCAAGCAGGCGGCGAGTTAGCTGGAAGCGTCCGACGGGAGCGGAGGTGGCTGGGCCTTCCTCGGGCGGATTCCCCGCTTCGGCTCGGTGCGCCGGGCTCCCGGGCTCGGCTGCAATGCGGAGCTTGTGCCTCGCTCCGCTTCCTTCTCCTCCCCCAGCCCCGCGCCGCTAAGAGACTCCCCCGCGGGCAGGGGCGGAGAGGAGCTTGCGGAGCAAGAGGCGGCGTGTGGGAAGCGGGACAGGCTGGATTCACACCGCACGGGCGAGTGCGCCGGTGATGCCGGGAACTCAGCTCGCCCTTGGCGAGTCACACCGAGCCCGCTCCATTGTGCGGGGCTTCCAGCCTCCCAGCCTTGCAGTGCATCCCTGGGAGTAGCTGGGGCACTTCCTGCGAGGGGAAGGAGGCTGGCGATTGCTGCGATTTCCTGTTTTATCACGGGGTGGGGACGGGCTGACAGGCCTCCGCCCTGGCGAGGAGACACCGGCCAGACAAACTGTGACCCCCCAGGGTCAGTCCGGAGAGAAGAGCTGGGTGTATTCATAGAATCATAGAATATCAGGGTTGGAAGGGACCTCAGGAGGTATCTAGTCCAACCCCCTGCTCGAAGCAGGACCAATCCCCAGTTTTTGCCCCAGATCCATAAATGGCCCCCTCAAGGTGCTCCAAAGCTTCTCTCCCCCCCCCCCCCCGCCCCAGAAGTTGGTCCAATAAAAGATATGACCTCCCCCGCCTTGTCTCTGTCACCCCCTGGGACCCACCGGCTACCACAACGCTGCCTACACACTTCTGTCCGCTGTGCAGTCATGTATGTTGTCGGTATGTATCCTCCCAGATCATCCCGCTTTCTGGGCCAAAGACCATCTGGTCACCGTGTGCAGATGAATCCAGAAAGCGAGCTGCAAAGGGGTGAAATGGGTTTGTGCCTTTTATAAAAAGACATTCTAAGATGTATTAAAAAAGGCAAGTGTCAGGGGGTAGCCATGTTAGTCTGTATCCACAAAAACAACCAGAAGTCCGGTGGCACCTCAAAGAATAACAGATTCATTTGGACATAAGCTTTCATGGGTAAAAAACCACTTTTTTTTATTTTGGCATCTGAAGAAGTGGGTTTTTTACCCACCAAAGCTTATGTCCAAATAAATCTGTGAGTCTTTAAGGTGCCTCCGGACTCCTCGCCTCCTCTCCTTGTTTTTCACGTTAGAAATTTAGGTCTTCTTTAATCTGTTTTTTTCGTGGAAGACTCTATGGATGACTAGAAAACTCTGAATCGCTGGAGATGTTCATATACTATGATGATGAGGATGGTATAAAAAGACAGGCAAACAGAACTAGACTTATGGCACTAGAGAGACCATTCAACTGACCCTTGATTAATTGAGTGGGGAGATAATTGTTATTCAGCACGTTTAAAACGCTTTGGTTTTTGTTTGCGTTTGTTGACACATTTAACTCAGATGCCCGAGAAACGCTTGGAAGAAAGATGTCTTTGTTAAAACTTCAGACCTGGCCCCGATCCCTTCCGTTAAGGGCTAGGGAAACTCACAATCCTTATTGGCCCCCTCTGAACACTGCTGCTAACAACACCTTCCTGCTTCTATGGGTCATCCTGAGTTCATCCAACCCCTCTCTGTCCCTCCGCTGGCTCCCCCTTCTCCACTGCAGCCAACACAAGCTTCTTGTCTTCCTCTGTAAGGCTCTTTGTGACTTAGCCTCACCCTCTCTGATCTGGTATTTTACCCCACCTTTTCACTGACAAATAACCCAGCCTTTGCTGTCCACCACTCAGCTTCGAGCCTCAGACATGGCTGTGATTTCTTCAGCACCACCTAGTAAAAGTTCCCCAGCAAGGTGGGGATGAGGTGGATGAAGCTTTCTTCCGGCAACTCGCAGAAGCTACTAGATCGCACGCCCTTGTTCTCATGGGCAACTTCAATCACACTGATATCTGCTGGGAGAGCAATACTGCGGTGCACAGACAATCCAGGAAGTTTTTGCAAAATGTAGGGGACAATTTCCTGGTGCAAGTGCTGGAGGAACCAACTGGGGGGGAGCTTTTCTTGACCTGCTGCTCACAAACCAGGAAGAATCAGTAAGGAAAGCAAAAGTGGATGGGAATCTGGGAGACACTGACCATGAGTTGGTCGAGTGCAGGATCCTGACACAGGGAAGAAAGGTAAGCAGCAGAATACAGACCCTGGACTTCAGGAAAGCAGACTTCGACTCCCTCAGGGAACTGATGGGTAGGATCCCCTGGGGGAATAACATGAGGAGGAAAGGAGTCCAGGAGAGCTGGCTGTATTTCAATGAATCCCTACTGATGTTACAGGGACAAACCATCCCGATGTGTCGAAAGAATAGTAAACAGCAGGCGACCAGCTTGGCTTAACAGTGAAATCCTTGCGGATCTTAAACATAAAAAAGAAGCTTACAAGATGTGGAAGATTGGACAAATGACCAGGGAAGAGTATAAAAATGTTGCTCAGACATGTAGGAATGAAATCAGGAGGGCCAAATCGCACCTGGAGCTGCAGCTAGCAAGAGATGTTAAGAGTAACAAGAAGGGTTTCTTCAGGTATGTTGGCAACAAGAAGAAAGCCAAGGAAAGTGTGGGCCCCTTACTGAATGAGGGAGGCAACCTAGTGACAGAGGATGTGGAAAAAGCCAATGTACTCAATGCTTTTTTTGCCTCTGTCTTCACGAACAAGATCAGCTCCCAGGCTGCTGCGCTGGGCAACACAGCATGGGGAGTAGGTGGCCAGCCCTCTGTGGAGAAAGAAGTGGTTCGGGACTATTTAGAAAAACTGGACGTGCACAAGTCCATGGGGCTGGATGCGTTGCATCCGAGAGTGCTAAAGGAGTTGGCGGCTGTGATTGCAGAGCCATTGGCCATTATCTTTGAAAACTCATGGCGATCGAGGGAAATCCCGGACGACTGGAAAAAGGCTAATGTAGTGCCCATCTTTTAAAAAGGGAGGAAGGAGGATCCTGGGAACTACAGGCCAGTCAGCCTCACTTCAGTCCCCGGAAAAATCATGGAGCAGGTCCTCAAGGAATCAATCCTGAAGCACTTACACGAGAGGAAAGTGATCAGGAACAGTCAGCATGGATTCACCAAGGGAAGGTCATGCCTGACTAATCTAATCGCCTTCTATGATGAGATTACTGCTTCTATGGATGAAGGGAAAGCAGTGGATGTATTGTTTCTTGACTTTAGCAAAGCTTTTGACACGGTCTCCCACAGTATTCTTGTCAGCAAGTTAAAGAAGTATGGGCTGGATGAATGCACTAGAAGGTGGGTAGAAAGTTGGCTAGATTGTCGGGCTCAACGGGTAGTGATCAATGGCTCCATGTCTGGATGGCAGCCGGTATCAAGTGGAGTGCCCCAAGGGTCGGTCCTGGGGCCGGTTTTGTTCAATATCTTCATAAATGATCTGGAGGATGGTGTGGATTGCACCCTCAGCAAATTTGCGGATGGTACTAAACTAGGAGGAGTGGTAGATACGGTGGCAGGTAGGGATAGGATACAGAGGAACCTAGATAAATTGGAGGATTGGGCCAAAAGAAATCTGATGAGGTTCAACAAGGATAAGTGCAGGGTCCTGCACTTAGGACGGAAGAATCCAATGCACTGCTACAGACTAGGGACCGAATGGCTAGGCAGCAGTTCTGCGGAAAAGGACCTAGGGGTGACAGTGGACGAGAAGCTGGATATGAGTCAGCAGTGTGCCCTTGTTGCCAAGAAGGCCAATGGCATTTTGGGATGTATAAGTAGGGGCATTGCCAGCAGATCGACGGACGTGATCATTCCCCTCTATTCGACATTAGTGAGGCCTCATCTGGAGTACTGTGTCCAGTTTTGGGCCCCACACTAGAAGAAGGATGTGGAAAAATTGGAGAGAGTCCAGCGAAGGGCAACAAAAATGATTAGGGGTCTGGAACACATGACTTATGAGGAGAGGCTGAGGGAACTGGGATTGTTTAGTCTGCAGAAGAGAAGAATGAGGGGGGATTTGATAGCTGCTTTCAACTACCTGAGAGGTGGTTCCAAAGAGGATGGTTCTAGACTATTCTCAGTTGTAGAAGATGACAGGACAAGGAGTAATGGTCTCAAGTTGCAGTGGGGGAGGTTTAGGTTGGATATTAGGAAAAACTTTTTCACTAGGAGGGTGGTGAAGCACTGGAATGAGTTACTTAGGGAGGGGGTAGAATCTCCTTCCTTAGAAATTTTTAAGGTCAGGCTTGACAAAGCCCTGGCTGGGATGATTTAATTGGGGATTGGTCCTGCTTTGAGCAGGGGGTTGGACTAGATGACCTCCTGAGGTCCCTTACAACCCTGATATTCTATGATTCTAAGGTCCGTTGACCTATCAGCCTCTGCCTGTAAATCCCCGAAAACTCACCTCGGCTGTGATGCCTACAGAGCTCTGCCAGCTGACAAAGGGAAGGGAGAGAGGATGAAATGTACAGACAAGGTTAGAGGGCAACTTGGATGTTGTATTTATAGATTCCAAGGCCAAAAGGGACCATTGTGATCATTTGGTCTGACCCCCTGTATAATACAGGCCAGAGGACAACCCCCAAAATAATTCCTAGAGAAGAGCTCTTTAGAAAAACATCCTAACCTTGGTTTTAAAATGACCAGTAATAGAGAATCCACAGGACTAAATGGTGGTGAATCATCCTGCAATTTACATGGTCTAATCATATCCACACATTTATAACATGCCCATCACCATAGTATCTAAGCAAAACCAACGCACTGGATTTGTAACGAAGCCTATACCAAGCCTCTTCCCCCCAAGTATGTTTGCACCTGCAGTATATAGTGCCAGACTGTTTGCCCCACACTTAAATCTGGGTGCAAGTACGTCACTCTCTAAATGCTGCTCTATGTACCCACCGTTAAAAGGCGCCCACCAACATCGGAGGGGGGCCCTGAAAAGCTGGCTCAGACACGTGCCCAAGTTTCACCAACTCTAGACCTCTGAGGACTCTACTCATGCAAGTGGGTCCATGGAGGGCTGGGGGATCAGACCCTTAGTTTCCTAAATGTAAAGAGACTGATTTGTAATGCAGAGGGGACGGGCTTTGCTGGCAGTGCAAGGGTGGGAAGGTTTGCCACAGCAGCCATGCAGAAAACAAAGGGTTTACATGACTGCTCCGTGGGCTGATGGGAAGTGTAGTTCTCCCTCTCTGATAAGGTTAAACATCTGTGCTGTGATCACAGGCAGCTTCAGTACCTTCCGGGGAAGGACTACAGCTCCCAGGAATGCTTTGCAGCTCTGTAGGAGTAAAAGCCTTACAATAGAAGGGACTCTATGGGGCTAAGACAGCTGCACATGTGATCTCTGTGGGTAACTGCCTTATTCCTCAGCATCCTTAGTTTGTCAGGGTTTGCTTTAAAAAAAAATCCCTCATAGTCCTGCCTGCAGATCGCCCCCCTTTTTCTTCTGTCTAATCTTTCACTGCCTTTCCTGGTAACCTGAAATCAGACCAGAGTCTCTCTGCACTGGCAGCCATTAAGAGAGAAAAAACGGGCAGAGGGAATAGGAATCTCTAAATACTGATTGATTAAAAAAAAAAAACCGGATCTGGGGTCCTCATGGTCTGAGGAGTTCCAGCCAAGAAAGCCCATCTACACCCGGTTCATTCCAGCATCAGAGGGGAATGGCTGAGGAGATCTCCGCTCAGGTAGGACATTTACCTTGAACATCGTGTTTGCAGATAAATTAGAAATACACCGAAGAATCTGTCATGAAGCAGATGGCGATCTCAGTTACACTGGTGTAAATCCAGAGCAGCTCTACTGAATTAAGTGGAGTAGCTCCAGATTTACACCAAGATCAGGATGTGTCTCTGTGTCCTGATACTCAGCCTGAGCCAACCAGTTAGGCTGCAGCTAGGGTGACCAGATAGCAAGTGCAAAAAATCAGGACAGGGATGGGGGGGTGATAGGCGCCTGTATAAGACAAAGCCCTAAATATAGGGACTGTCCCTATAAAATCGTGACATCTGGTCACCCTAGCTGCAGCCTGCAGGTTTCTAAATACATAGGTTGAGACTTGGATTTCGTTCTACTGGAGCAGTTTCTAATGAAAGGGTAAAATACCTCTCGGCTGGGACTCCACTATAAAGTCATCGATTCCAATGCCAGGCGGGACCGTTCATTGTAATCATCTCGCCTGACCTCCTGGGTAACACAGGCCAGAGAACGGCCCCAGAGTAATTCCTGGAGCAGAGCTTTTAGAAAACCCTGCCTAGGAGCAGGGAACATATATATTCGAGCTGCCCCATCTGCCCTATGCAGGAAAGCAGTGCCAGGCTGTCATATCTGAGGGGATCTGACCTACAGCACTGCATCTCTCCATAGAGCATTTGTGGCCGTCGTCAGGTGCATGTTCCATTTAAAAACGTGGCCCGAGATGGCTGAGAAGTGCACTTGGGCTGAAGAACCTCATTTTGGAGATGGGGCATGGAAGGGGATAATCTAGATTAGTTTTAGACTGGAGCGCAGGTTAGAGGCTGAACCAGGACTCAGGGTTTATATTTAGCAGCACAGAGCCCGGCTGTTCTTGTGAGATTTCATCCCCAAACGGCAGAGAACTCACGGGAACAGCTGATCTCACAAGTCTTGTGCCACATGAGGCCAAAATCACATGAGAACAGGTTCCAGCTTCATCTTAGCCAGAAGAGGAAAATAAGACCCTGCCAGGTTTAGAATCCAACCTAGAATCAAAACCATAGGGCGAGCTTTGGAGCTGGGGATCCGTATCCAGCCCCTCGGCTTTCGAAGGGGTTTGGATCATAGGTCGTGCAGCATTAATAGCTATGGTCTTTGGGAAGAGAATTAGAAAAATAACCTGTGGTTATGGTCACCTAAATGTGTTACTGTTCTGCAAAGGCTGGGCATGTTCTTTGGAGGAGCTCAAAGTAACGATCCCTGCAGACAAACCATTCCTTGGCAAGGCAATGCCATGTATTGTAGGTAACCAGCTCTGTATTTGCACCCACAAGACAAGGCATATGCCTGTAGCTTGTTGAAGGGCAAATGGCAGGTTTCAGGAAGGTAAGTACCACACAAGGGTTCCAGAACTGAGCATTCTCACAATCCCGTTACAAACCCTCGGGTTCCCTGAATTTGTTCACCTGCTTCCTACTTCACACACTGTTAACCCCACACACACACACACAGAGCAGCTTTTAACCTCACACCGATACCATTAGCCCTTCATGTTCCAGGTGGGCACTGAGCGGGTTGCTGTTTGTGTTTCAGAGGCTGGTAACATTTGAGGATGTCAGTGTCTATTTCTCCCCGGAGGAGTGGGTGATTTTGGAAGAATGGCAGAGAGAGTTTTACCGGGACGTCATGAGGGAGAATTATGAGCTTCTGATCTCAATGGGTAAAAATCAACAATCGTTTTGCCTTCACTTTATGGATAGCCTGATTCTGGGCATGTCTGGGGGGACTTCAGTTTAGTCACTTTGGACCACATTTTTAAGGGTTTGATTTCAATAAGAGTTAGGCCCGTAGGTGCTTCTGAAATCCCACTAGGTGCCGATCTGCATCTTTAGGCACCTGAATATCTTTAAACATCTGGCCCTTTCTCTTTCTCCATCATGGTGAAGCTGTGGGCCTGATTCTGAGCTCAGTTACGCTAATGTAAATCTGGAGTAACTCCAGTGAGGTCCATGGAGATTCACCACTGTAAACATGGTTTAAGTGAGAGTAGAATCATACTCTGTGAATGGAAATAAGGCAGTAACATGCCTCGAATCTGACCCACTAATCTGGAAATGGGGGTGAACAGTGAAAAGGCAAAGTTTACAGATGATACAAAATTATTCAAGACAGTGAAGTTCAAAGCAGACTGCGAAGAGCTACAAAGGGATCTCACGAAGCTGGGTGATGAGGTAACAACATGGCAGATGAAATGCAACCTTGACACGTGCAAAGTAACGCACACTGGAAAAAATAATCCCGACTGCACATCTATAATGATGGGTTCTAAATTAGCTGTTACCACTTAGAGAGATCTTGGAGTCACCATGGATAGTTCAGCTCAATGTGCAGCAATGGTCAAAAAGGCAAAGAGATTGCTAGGAACTATTAGGAAAGGAATAGAAAATAAGGTAGAACATTTCACATACCATTATGTAAGTCCCTGGTGCCCCCACACCTGCTATACTGTGACCAATTCTGGTCACCCCATCTGAGAAAGGATACAGGGGAACTGGAAAAAGTTCAGAGAAGGGAAACAGAGACGATCAAGGGTATGTAACAGCTTCCATATGAGGAGAGACTAAAAAGATTAGGGCTGTTCATCTTAGCAGAGACGACTCGTGGGGATATGATAGAGGTCTATAAAATCATGACTGGTGTGGAAAAAAGTGTTATTTGCCCTTTCCCACACTACAAAAACTAGGGATCACCCAATAAAATTAATAGGCAGCAGGTTTAATACAACCAAGAAGTACTTTGTCACACAATGCACAATTAACCTGTGGAACTCATTGCCAGGGGATGTTGTGAAGGCCAAAAATATAACTGGGTTCAAAAAAGAACTAGATAAGTTCATGGAGGATAGGTCCATCAGTCAAGATGGGCATGAATGCAAAACCATGCTCTGAAGTGTTTGCCAGAAGACGGGTGGATCACTCCAGCTGCCCTGTTTTTTACAGTTCCCTGAAGTTCTGGGACCAGCCATTGTTGGAAGACAGGATACTGGGCTAGCGGGACCATTGGTCTGACCCAGCACAGCCGTTCTCATGTTCTTAACTGCTGACTTGTGGCGTATCCCTCCTCAGTACAGTTCTCTGAAAAATGCCCTCTGAGTTGGTTTGTTTTGCAACTTTTTTTCTGCAGATCATCATTGCACTAGATGACGCGTGCAATAGAAACGCCCGTTCATTCATGCATTTACTCCAGAGCGTTCTTCCTCTAGGGCAGCCCACAAACCCACCACCATCCACCGGAACAAATATTCTCTTAAATATTCCTCTTCATTGCTGTAGAGCAGAGGTACCCTCAATTTCTTGCTGCACCCCTTCTCCACAGGAGTCACATAACAGCCCACCCCCAAACTCCCACCCAACTGGGGCAAAAGCAACTCACCAAGCAGGGCAGGCGGCTCACCCCGAGGTCAGGGCAGGACCTGGCTGGCTACGTCTCCAGAGAAGCCCACGGCAGCACAGTGCGGGACTAGACCAGGGCACCTTGTGCTTCCTCCCCCTGCCCAGAGCCTCTAGCTCCTGCAGGCTCCTGCAGCACATGGTGCTGGGGCAGGTCAGGCCTGTGGGCCAGGGCAGGACAGCAGCGGGGACAGTGCACAAGGAGTCCCCAGCAGTCCGGGAGCGGGAGGAAGAAGAGAGCAGCAGGCTGCCGCTAGGATGGGGTGGGGCTGCACTCCCCCTCCCACCCCGAGTGCTAGGGGCTTCCTGTATGTTATTTTTCCACATTTAAACTCCAGGGTCCTGATCTTTCAGAGATTTCGGACCAGGAGTGGTGCTGACTGCCTTGAAAGCAGTGGAATGACTCGTGGCAGTCAGTCCCACTCCCTGTAGTGCGTTGTTCGCAAGATAAAACCCTTACACACACAGCAACAGCTCCACGGACGCCAGGTGTAGCAGAGTGCGGCATGGCCCCCTTGGCTCCTGCCTCTGCTAGGTCCATAAAGTCACTCGGTGCAGTTTATTTACAGGCTTGTTCCCATCTGCAGGCCACCCTCGCTGCTTCCACTCTCTGCCTTTTCCCTGCGGCTTTTATACAGCCCCAGGTTAATCAGGCGGCAGCTGTCTCTGCTTCCCCAGTTAGGACCAGGTTAGCTCCAGCCAGCTCTAATTTATTCCCCTGAATGGGAGCTGGCCTGACAGAGGGCTGAATCAGCAACCCTTTGCCCAGCGCCCTGTCACACAAGGGGTGTTATAATCACTGACATCGGGGTGACTGTCCTTTATTCCACACACGCTGTGACTGGAACAATTCTCAGTGGAATACAGAAGTAGGACATTCTAGGTAACAGAGGGGTGGGTGGTGATGTGGTACTGGAAAGAGACCCTCCGGCCCACCCACCCAGCGGTGTCTGTGCACCACTGTCCCAGGCCACATCCACACCAGTGACCTGGCAGGCATGTTGCCCAGCGCTGGCCAGTCCCCCTGTGTGAGGCCACTGTATTCCCATGCCATGGACCACATTGCCAGCCAGGCTCGGCTGCCTGGCGAGTAGGCCCCGGGCTGCGGCTGTCCAGGCAAGACACCCCCTCCCCATTGAGTCCTGTTGCTGCATGAGGCCAGGAAGGGGATAGCACCATCTCACCCACTTCTCTTGCTGGTGAGACGGGGGGGCAGGACCGGGAGCTGCAAACGGTGCCCACCGTCTCCCAAGCGGTTGCCATGGCACTGGCTGTCGAGGGTACCGGCCCTGAAGGATGCAGGGCAGCGCAGTGGATAGCCCTATGCTACGCAGGGGGCTGTATCTCTGTATCCAATCCAAGGGAGGGCAGGGGGCAGCCTGCTACACGGGCTCTCTGTGGTGGGAGAGCTGTGTGGGGTGGAGAGGCATGCTAGGCCCGGTCTCTGTGTCCCAGGAGGGTAGCCCCAGCTGGAGGGAGGCCCCTGCCAAGATGAGAGTCCCTGGGGGAGAAGGGGACCAGGCTGAGTAGAGAGATGCTGCCTCAGATGGGGTGGGGGGCAACACACAACAAAGCAGGGGACCCTCCTGAGGGGCAGTGGAGCAGGGAAACCCACCCTTGGGAGGGATTAGGAAGAGTGGGGCTTGCAGAAGCAAGACCGTCTCTCGGAGGGGAGTTTTCACCTTGCCAGGGGGCACATTCACCAGGAGGAGGGGACCTTGTCAAGGGGCCACAGAAGACTCTGAAGCCTGGGAGATGCAAAAGGAAATTAACTGGGTCTGCCTTGCGCTCTCAGCAGGTCATTCTGTTACGAAACGTGACCTCCCGCCACAGACCGAGCGAGGGGAGGACCCGCCACGTCCCAGGGCGTGGAGCGACGTAGAGGAAAAGGGGACTCTGCAGAGCTCCTTCACAGGTGAGGGATCAGACCTGCTCCAGAACGCAGAGGTGTAGGCCCTGCCAGCCCTAGCCAGCGGAAATGGGCTCACAGCTTCCTAGGGAGGAGCTGCATTTAAACACGAATCTCTGAGGGCTGCTCCACTGGTTCTTTCTTGGCGGATGCCGCCAGGGCGGAAACGGAGCAAGGCCACCATTCCACGAGCGCTTCAGGTTACAGGGTTTCTCTTCCGAGCTTCAGATTTTTACCTCTTCGTTGTCACATCTTGGTGGGCTGAGCGCTCAAATGCCATTCAAAGATTTTGTTCACCTAGAGCGTCTTGAATTTTTTGCTACAAATTTAGCACCTCGTTGGTTAATCTCGCTCTCAGATCCATCCTTCGTTTCTTCAAATGGTTCGTTATTCTCTGGGCAGTGGGGATGTAGCGACACGGGACTCACTGGCACAGCGCCTCCCGCTGGTCATCCTGGGAATTAGCTCTCCAGCCTCCGGAGCACCCCCTGCAGGCCAGGGTCCTGCTTGCCTCAGGCCCCCCGTGCCCCCCCGGACCCCAGTGCTCCTCTACATCAGGGTTCTGCCCCCTGCAGTACCCCTGCACACTGGGTCTCCCCTCCCTGGGGAATCCCCACCCCATCTCAGCAGCTACTGCCAGTCCTCACCTAGCCCCCACACACTGGGGCAGACTGCAGCCATCATCGGCAAGGAGGGTTTGGACCTGCTGCCTTTGCCTAACCTTGGGCTGCCCCTTTGCAACCCCAGTACCTGCTTTAGACCTTCAGCAAGGCCTGCAGGCTGGGGATTTTCCAGCCTGGAGCCCCCCAGCTCCTCTGGCCTTTCCCCAGCCCTGCTCCACTTTGGGTACCCTGTTGAGCTCCCAGGCAGCCAGGCCCATCTCTCTCCACAGCTAGAGAGAGACTACTTGAGCCCCTGGCCCACAGCCTTTTATAGGGCCAGCTGTGGCCTGATTGGGGCATGGCCCCAGCTGTGGCTGCTTCCCCTTCAGCCTAGCCCTTGGCTCGCAGCCCCAGCCCTCTCCCAGGGCTGGCTGTAACCCTTTCAGGCCCGGAGTGGGTGACCACCCCGCTACAGGGGGCCTATAGTTTTCAGGCTGTTGGCTGTTCGCAAACTGTTCGTTTTGATGATTTCGATTCATTATTAGTGCTTCTTACAGTGCTATGTGGTTGGGAAAATTAAGACACATGATATTGTGTGTGCTTCCTGTCTGGGAGAATAGCAAATAAGAAATCAAGAATAGCACATGATTAATAGCACGCTTTCTGGTGTGGATTTTCCTACTCAATCTTTTCTGTGAAAATTTTTGGAATTTCGGGTAATTTTTGCAATACGGTAGACTCTCAGAGTTATGAGCACCAGAGTTACCAACTGACCCATCAACCACATGCCGCATTTGGAACTGGAAGTGCGCAATCAGACAGCCGCAGAGACCTTGAAAAAAACCCCACCAAAGACAGTACAGTCCTGTGTTAAGTGTAAACTGCTAAAAAAATAAAGGGAAAGTTTAAAAAAAAGTTTTGACAAGGCAAGGAAGCTGTTTCTGTGCTTGTTCCATTTAAATTAAGATGGTTAAAAGCAGCATTTTGCTTCTGCACAGTAAAGTTTCAAAGCAGGATTAAGTCAATGTTCAGTTGTAAACTTTTGAAGGAACAGCCCTCGGGCTTTGTTCCGAGTGACGAACATTTCAGAGTGACGTACAACCTCCCTTCCCGAGGGGCTCGTAACTCTGCGGTTCTGCTGTATGTGACAGTCATCTTAATCTTCCTAAGTAACCAGCAGTGCGTCCTTCTGGCTCACTGCAAACTGATGTGACCTGACAGCATTTTTTAAAATCTATCTTTCATACATGCCACCTAGTGTTCAAATAATTAAGACGATCCTGGGAGCAATTTTATCTTTAACCAGCAAATTCTAAGAAATCTTGGAAAGGAGGAAGCAGCATGTATGGTGGGAGTACGGTCTCCTGAGTTGTGTTCCCAGCTTTCTGTCACTAACCTATTGTGTGACTTCTGCCAAGCCACTTGATCTCACTGTGCCTCAGTGAGCCACTCTGTAAAACGGGTATGATACCACTACTGCTTACCTACCTATCTCACAGCACGGGTTTGGGGGACTAGATAATGCCAGTAAAATGCTTTGAGATCCTAATATGGAGGCAACATCCTGTTGGCACGATGACTTCCTACAAAAGTTCAAAATCTTTTAAACCTTGTATCTGTAGACATGGAGGTGGTACAAGGGGCCTATAACCAGTGCTGCTTGTGAGACACACCTTCATGGGATCACACTGGAAATCAGACAGAGCTGATATTAAGAGTTTTACCTTCCCTTGCAATAATATTCTGAACTCTTGTCTCTGTGTTGTAGATGATGACAACTCTACTATAAAATCAGAACCACCTGACCCCTTACCAGAGAGATCAGAAGAGAGTCTCTCCATGTCTCCAGACTGGAGAAATGCCTACAAGATCCAGTGCAAACCACAAAGGCAACAGATGTACCATGCAGAAGCCAAGCATGAGAAACTAACTATAAAATTAGAGCCAAGTGAGCCCTCATCAGAAAAGTCTGAAGAAGATCTTTCCACATCTTCAGACATCTACAGGATCCAGTGCAAACCAGAAAGGCAGCAGATGAACCCCACCGGAGCAGAGAATGAGAACCTTACTGTGAAATTAGACTCACCCGAACTATCACCGGAACAGTCCAAAGACACTGTTCTTAAGTCTTCAGACTGGGACAGCATCTTCAGGATCCCTTGCAAATCAGGAAGGCAGCCGGTGAGCCTCATTGAAGCGACCCATGAGACCTCTGCTATAAAACTGGAGGTATCGGACCGATCATCGGAAACACGCCAAGAGAACGTGGCCATGAATCCAGACTGGGGGAGTGTCTGCAGGGTCCCATGCAGATCACAAAGGCAGCTGAGGAGCACTCTAGAGGCTGAGGCTGAACAATCCAGCTTTGGCAACATGGAGAATTTTGCACTTTTCCAAGGACACCTGAAGAGAGAAATGCCATACGTGTGCATGGAATACAAAGACAACTTTGCGGATCAGGTTGGCCTGGAACCACACCAGGGAAAGCTCCCACTGGAGGCTCCATTTAACTGGACTGATTGCAGCAGCAGCTTTGGGCCGATGTCCCTTCTCATGACTCATCGGGAAACCCACATGGGAGTGAGGCCATACATCTGCACCGAATGCAAGAAGGGCTTCAATCACAAACAAGACTTGATACGGCATTACCGTATCCACACGGGAGAGAGGCCCTATCAGTGCACTGAATGCGGGAGAAGCTTCATCCAGAAAACGCACCTTATAACGCACTTCCGAATCCACACGGGCGAGAGGCCATTTCCATGCACCGAGTGTGGGAAAAACTTCAGGAAGAAAACCCACCTGGTGCGGCACCAGAGGACTCACTCGGGAACCCGGCCGCTTCCCTGCTCTGTATGCCAGAAGAACTTCAGCCACAAGCAAGATCTCGCCAGGCACCAGCAGATCCACACAGGGGAACGGCCGTTCACGTGCATCGAGTGTGGGAAGAACTTCAGCTGGAAGAAGAATCTTATCACCCACCAGCGTATCCACACGGGGGAGCGGCCCTTCAGCTGCGTCAAGTGTGGGAAAAGCTTCAGCTGGAAGAAATACCTCATCACGCACCAGAAGACCCATGAGGAGAAGAGACTGTACAACTGCCCTCACTGCGACAGGAGCTTCTGCCAGAAGTCTGTGCTCACCATGCACCAGAAGACGCACCTCGAGAGGCGATCCTACACCTGCGCCATATGCCAGAGGAGCTTTGGTCACAAGCAGGACCTCATAAGGCACCACCGGATCCACACCGGAGAGAGACCCTTCGCCTGCAGTGAATGCGGGAAGAGCTTCAGCCAGAAGACTCACCTGGTTACCCACTTCAGGATCCACACAGGTGAGAGGCCGTTCCTGTGCAGCGAATGCGGGAAAGGGTTCAGCAAGAAAACCCACCTGATGAGGCACCAGCAAATCCACACAGGGGAGCGCCCCTTCAGGTGCACCCAGTGCGACAAAGGCTTCAGCTGCAAGAAGAACCTCCTCACCCACCAGCTGATCCACTCGGGGGACGTGACCCTCTATGCCTGCGCCGAGTGTGAGAAGAGCTTCACCTGGAAGAAGAACCTCATCACCCACCAGAAGATCCACGCGGGGAAGAAGCCGTTCATCTGCACCGAGTGCGGGAAGAGCTTCAGCCAGAAAACCCACCTGAACGCCCACCAGCGCATCCATACCGGAGAGCGGCCCTTCCCCTGCGCCCAGTGCGGGAAGGCCTTCAGCCAGAAGTCCATCCTCATCACACACCAGAAGACCCACCTGGGCAGCCGGCCCTACGCCTGCACGGAGTGTGAGAAGAGATTCAGCCACAAGCAGGACCTGAAGAGACACCTGAGGATCCACACAGGAGAGAGGCCCTATGCATGCACCGAGTGCGGCAAGAGCTTCAACCAGAGGACACACCTCGTCACGCACTACAGGATCCACACCGGGGAGAGGCCCTTCCCCTGCGACCTCTGCGGGAAGCGCTTCAGCAAGAAAACACACCTCATGAGGCACCAGAGAGTGCACGCAGTGGTAAAGCCGCACGTGCGCTTACTCAACATGGGGGCCATCGCCATGGGGAGCCAGCTTTCGGTCTCGGTTGGAAGTCCTATCTCACTCGGGGATCCGCTGAAGGAGGAGACCATATACATTTACCAGCTGTGAAAGAAGAGCAACACTAGACACCTGCCCAACGGAGCTGAGCAAGGAAGGTGCAAGGAAGAAGCTTCTTGTAAAATAACCACTCAGAATCCAGACACTGCTGAATGTGAGAGAAGCTTCATTCTTGCTCCACAGCAAGGCCACATGCCTGGACCCAGTGTGCAGGAGCAGGTCCAGTCTAACCGTCCAGCTCCTGTTCCCACCAGCAAATGCGCACAGAGCAGAATCCGTGTCTCTTTATCAGGCTGAAGTCTGCAGATAAACTTCATAGCACTCCAGGGACCAGCCTAGCGCTGGGACCCTAGAGGAAAGGTTCGTCTCCTCTCTAAGGTTAATTAGTGGCCTCACACAAAGAACATACTTTGGCCCCAATTTGCAGCAAGTTGCCTTAGTTGCACATGCAGAAGTTGAGTGCATCTGTCTGTGCCCCCGAAAGTGCATCAGCCTACGCAAGACGAACAACTGCCTGCACAAAGCACGCTGGGGGTGCAGTACTTGTGAGCACTGTTAAAGAGTCCCCCTGGAAACACGTCCCTTTGTATCCTGGATGTGAGAAGAACGTCCATCACAACTGGACATTTTAAAGGTCACAAGACAGTCCACATAGACATTCACCGGGAGGAATATACCGGGAGGAATATAAGCTTCACTACTCGGTCCTGCTTCAGTCTACTCTGCAGATCTGAACCAGGAGAGCAAAGACAGAACTGCAATGAATGTGTGAAAAGCTGCTATCGATGTTTATGTGTAAATTTCAAATGGGATCATCGCAGGAATCAACAAACCACAAAGACTGCCCTCAGTCAAACTCAGACTGAGTTTGTGTGTGTATGAGGGTGGGGGGGATGTGAGAAAACCTGGACTTGTGCTGGAAATGGCCCACCTTAATTATGCACATTGTAGGGAGAGTGGTCACTTTGGATGAGCTATTACCAGCAGGATAGTGAGTTTGTGTGTGTGGTTTTTGGGAGGGGGGTGAGGGGGTGAGAGAACCTGGATTTGTGCAGGAAATGGCCCAACTTTATTATCATGCACATTGTGTAGAGAGTTGTCACTTTGGATGGGCTATCACCAGCAGGAGAGTGAATTTGTGTGGGGGGGTGGAGGGTGAGAAAACCTGGATTTGTGCTGGAAATGGCCCACCTGATGATCACTTTAGATAAGCTATTACCAGCAGGACAGTGGGGTGGGAGGAGGTATTTTTTCATATTCTCTGTGTATAAATAAAGTCTGCTGCAGTTTCCACGGCATGCATCCGATGAAGTGAGCTGTAGCTCACGAAAGCTCATGCTCAAATAAATTGGTTAGTCTCTAAGGTGCCACAAGTCCTCCTTTTCTCAGTTGTACAGTAACCCCTGAAAACGTGAGAAATGGGGGGACACAGTGTCCGACATGTAGAATGTTTTCAAAAGAAGAGGAGTAAAGGAATAACCAAGATACCCTGTTATCATCTCTGTCAGCCACTCCCCCTGCACCCCGTATCTGCAGGGTGGCAGAGGACACTGAACACGAGTTGGCAGGAAGCTGTAGTGGGAAACAGTTTCGAACAGAACCATCATTTCTCCTTGAACTGCTCCTGGAAATACTGGAGTGTATTTCAGTGGCGCATCAGCACACACTGCAGTGACCAAACCAGGGGCTTTCCGTTCAGACAGCGGGAATGTCTACCTAGTTCTTCTCTCATTTGGCTCGTACATCCGCAGCAGAGAGCAGCTTGATGGGATTCAGAACCGGGCACACCATGAGAATCCGAGCACCGTCTGCTTCCCCACAGGGACCCAGGGCTGTTATTGCAGATGTTAGATCTCGCTTGCAAAACGAGCGTGCTGAGTATCAGACACGCTCACCACCGTCCAGCCATGACACACTAACAGGGCTTAAATTCGTCCGGAGCAGAGCTCTAGTAAATATTCCCGAGCCCCAGCACCACCCTGTGGGGTGGAGCCCCTGCCTGCCCTGAGACCCGATGTGCCCCTCCTCCCCTACCCCCATTGCAGCTATATCCCAGAGCCCCGCCACAGGGCAGAATCCCCGAGCTCGCCCCACCAGCCCAGCGGCTGGAGCCCTGAGCCTCCCCTCCACCCTGCTGGGCCCTGGAGTTTTTATAGCATGGTGGGGGGAGGTGAGGGGGGCTCTGGGAAATAATCTATAAGAATTTAAGCTCCGCCCACTAATACTGCGGCCTCTGCTACAGGGGATAGCAGAGACTTCGGTGCCTAACATACAACACGAAGACTTGTTCATCCACAGAAGCAGAGAATATCTAAAGTCGCATTCAGTGTCCTGCGTAAAGCGCGGGTACCTTGTCGTGAAAGGGGTGGTACGACTGGTGTTACAGCACTTCCCGCTCCCAGGCGGTCTAGGGGCCAGTCTGAGCTGTCCAGCGTCTAGGGGCTTGTCTCTTCTCCCCACATCGCTGGAGTATCTGAAAGCCTCCCAGTAAAACCAACCCCGCTGTTGCTGCCATTGGAGGGTTTTAAGGGCAGGTTGGACAAACCCTGTCAGGGATGGTCTAGTTATTATGCAGTCCTGCCGTGAGTGCAGGGGACTGGACTAGGTGACCTCTCGAGGGCCCTTCCAGGCCTGTGGTTCTATTTCCTTCTTCCGTCCCTGCAGGCGAGAAGCCGGTTTGGTGGACACGGACACACAGCCTGGGGCAAATAAAGAACATGGGTTTAATGTTGTGCAATGTAATATACGTGGGGGGGGAGTTACTGAGAAGGGGACTGTAGAGATCCATGAGCTCAGAAAATGCCTGCCTTGGTTTGTAAAGGCACCGCGGCGTGAAAACGCAGGAAATCCCCTCCTGTCCCTGCACGTTGTAACGCTCGCTGAAAGGGCTTCCCTCGGTGGTTCATGTGCCGCGCCGAACCTGCAGCGTCAGGGGCTGGACTTTGCTGCTCATTGTAAATGGAGCGAATTTGACCTGGAACCCACTGAGGCAGAATCAGTGTTAACTGCCCCACCCCGCAGTGCTGTTTCAACAGGGGCCTACCTCTCTGGCCACACTCACACTCTAGGTAAAGTCCCATAGCAGCAGGCCCGCCAACGCGGGGCAGGAGGGGGCAAAGGGGGCAATGGCCCAGGGGCCCCCAGCCCCCACCCCAACCGCCAACTCCGCAACTCCCATTGGCCGGGAACTGCAGCCAATGGGAGCTGCAGGGGCAGTGTCTGCGGGCAGCAGCGTGCGGAGACACCCTAAGCCCCCCGCCTACGAGCCGCTGCGAGGGGGGTGTGTGGGTCGCGTTCGAGAGCCGCCCAAGATAAGCGCTGACCCCCGCCTACAACCCAGCCCCCTGCCCCAACCTAGAGCCCCGACCCCCTCCTGCACCCAACATTCTGCCCCAGCCCAGAGCCCGACCCCTCACCCCCTCCCGCACCCAAACTCCCTCCCAGAGCCCCGACCCCTCGCCCCCTCCCGCACCCAAACTCCCTCCCAGAGCCCCGACCCCTCACCCCCTCCCGCACCCAAACTCCCTCCCAGAGCCCCGACCCCTCACCCCCTCCCGCACCCAAACTCCCTCCCAGAGCCCCGACCCCTCACCCCCTCCCGCACCCAAACTCCTTCCCAGAGCCCCGACCCCTCACCCCCTCCCGCACCCAAACTCCCTCCCAGAGCCCCGACCCCTCGCCCCCTCCCGCACCCAAACTCCCTCCCAGAGCCCGACCCCTCACCCC